AGAAAATATAGAGATGGATTTTTTACAAGAGCATGTAGTGACAGGACAAGGAGGAATGGCTTCAAACCAGGACAGTGTAGATTGGGTATTAGGAGGATGCTCTTTGCTGTGAGCATGGTAAGGTTCTAGAACATGTTGGACAGGGAAGTTGTGGATGCAGCTCTGATCAACCTGGAATAGTGGAAGGTGTCCCTGCCCATGGCAGGGGGTTGCACCATATGATCTTTAAATGTCCCTTCCAATCTCAACTTTTNTGACAGGACAAGGAGGAATGGCTTCAAACCAGGACAGTGTAGATTGGGTATTAGGAGGATGCTCTTTGCTGTGAGCATGGTAAGGTTCTAGAACATGTTGGACAGGGAAGTTGTGGATGCTCCACCTGTGGATGTGTCCAAGGACAGTTTGGATGGAGCTCTGATCAACCTGGAATAGTGGAAGGTGTCCCTGCCCATGGCAGGGGGTTGCACCATATGATCTTTAAATGTCCCTTCCAATCTCAACTTTTCTGTGATTCTGTAAACTTTGTCTTAATGCATGCCCGGAGTACTGGCAAGTTTCCTTTCCATATGCTTGGTTGTGCTCCTGTTGCCTTCACAACGAGGAAATCAAAGAGTATTTTTTGTCCAACTCAATCCATGGTATTTGCCTTTGGAACAGGTGGAACTGGATTTCAGAACTGAATCAGTTCCAACACTCCAGTTGGTCTGGGATTTTATGATATTCACAGTTCTTGCAGAGGGGCCACTTTTGTTCCTTGAGGCCTGTATGGTTGAGTTTATGCATATTTATAAAACCCAATTTGGGAGGAAAAAAAAATTACCGTTAATGCTGCAAGAAGGGCAAAAGGATACAGTGACAGAAGAATAGTGGACATGTGGCCCATACAATAAAGTATAGTAGAAATGTGGCTGTGCATATTCATATTTTTTTAAATTAGAATGAAGGAACCTTGAATGTAATGCTGGAAGATTATGTGATTTTTTTTGAAGCTGACAGTGGAAAGGGAGAAAACATTGATATAGTTAAATATTTCCATTCTGTGCTTGGGGAAAAAGACAAATGTTGCAGGCAGATTGCAGGATGATGAAATACTTGTCCACAGTTCTTAAGCAAATACCAGTCAAACAGCAGATATCAATGTAGTTCTGCTTTGAATCAAATAGGCACTTAGTTGAATATTTCTCAATTAGCACTGATAGGAAAAGGTTTGACATTAAAAATTTTCCAGTTTCTCCAGTGAGATGTTTCAGTTACACAATGTGGATCTCAGAGAATTAATTGAATGTTTGCATATAAAAGTTCACTTAATGAAGGTTTAATAAAGTCTAAGCAGGTGTTTATGTTTATATCTCATCAACTTGTTAGGATTTTTATGTGAATTTTTTATGAGAATCAAAATCCAGTTAAAAGATTTAAAGTACTTGGCAGATTTGCCAGCATAATCATCTTGTGTAGGACACGACTACACATGGCAAAAGCATTGCTGTGGCTATATCTAGGTCAAAGAAAGGTTTTGTTGACTTTGGCTCATGTCTAAATGTGAGAAGGTGGTACCTGTGCCAGCAGAAACACCATTGCTGAGGGTGTAGGCAAAGTGACTCTCCCAGCCTGGCTCTTCTGGCACAAAGCCTGTCCTAGAGAAGGCTCCTGTGCGAGTTGATTCAGTACTACATGATGCTCTCACTAAAAAACTAAAAATGCTCCAAAACTAAGGCTGTACATACTAAATAGTGTCTGACTACCTGACAGAATAGAAAATCAGCAGCACTGGGAATATTTCTCAAGGAATTATCCCCCTTGCCACTTTAGTAGTTAGATCAACCCAAAAAAGCTGCCCACACCTTGAGTGCTGATGAAGTTTGTCAGCTGGAGGTAAGTGGTGAAGAGGTTACTTTGAATCGCAGTCAAGACGGAGATAAGCAAACACAACTTACTTTAACAGGATGAGGTAAAAGCTTGCACACAACGAAAGAGCATGTGCACTAAAATGTAGCTCCTTTCCAGGAAACAGTGGCTATAAGTAATCTCCAAAAATCATGAGAAAAAAGCAGATGGGTCTAAAAAAATTATGTGAATATCCGCTCACTCGGAAAAGAAGATAATTTGCTGGATTTGGCTACAAGAAAATATAGAAGACACCTACAGATTCTACATTAGGCCAGTATTTGGCACAATTTGAATACTGTGTGCAAGTTTGGTGGCAGTAATTGAGGAAACATATAAAAAAATTTGGAAGAAAGCTTCAAGAATTAAAACAAAAAAAGACGTGCTTTATGCCTGAGATTCAGGAAATGACATCTACCTGGTTTTGGTAAACCACTACAAAAGCTTGATTAATATGTGCACAAGTGAAATAGGTACTTTAGGAGAAAAGGTTTCTGAGGTACCAAAGGTGAAACAAGATTTGCTTGCATGGCCTTTACAAGAGAGCTCCAACATAATTGTAGATGTGGAGTGTGGTATCAACACAGAAAGAGCTTTTGCTTTCAAAACCGTAGTGATCATGCTTTTTATTCATTTTGGAAAGGGCAGCAACATTGTGCTTCAAAAGAAAATAAGCCAACATCTCTTGATGTAATGCCAGTGCCACTGATACTTAACCCAATTCCCCCTAAAAAGAGTAATCCAAAGGAACACATTGACAGGCCAAAGGATTGGTGCCTTTGGAAAATAAAGTGCCAACACTAACATGGATTTTCTCTCCTCCTTTTTACTATGTTCTGCCATGGATCTTCTCTACTCCAGTGAATTAGTTTAACCAACTTGGTAGTTTAAGATATTTTGGCAAACAAATGAGATCTTTGTGAGCAGTGCCACTAACAAGCACATCCTTTCAAAATTGTCCAGAAAATTGTTGCAAAAGGAGCAATGAAGTTAAACAGCAGGGAGGAGAGCTCTTGCCTGGAAAAAAACCCAAACAAACCTGTCTAGTCCTGTACCAGTTGGCAGAACACACCTAAAGCTCTGCATCAGTAAACAGTGTCTTCTGTTGAGGCCGACTCTTGCCTCGGAATAAAAAGAAACTTTAACAGCTGAATAACCTCATTATGTACACCCAGGCCTGTGCCTGCTGTCACAGTCCAATATTGCTGAAGGCTTGTTCTAAGCCCAGAGGGGTGTAAAAGCTTTCCCAAACTAAAGAAAAACTTTCTGTCAGAACCTGATTTCAAAATGTAAAATAAACAGATTTTCACAGTGCAGCTCTGGCTGTGCCAGCTTTTTCCAGCTTAGGCAGAGTTGCCCAAGAGGTGATGCCATGCCCAGACGCGCAGGCAGAGAGCATTTCCAACAAATCTGGGAGACTTGTGCCACTAAATTCACCCCTGTAAAATATCCTCAGATTTGTGGGAACAGTGACTGGACAGGAGGGCAGAGAGACCAAATTTAGACTAGGAAACATACCCAATGACAGAATCCCAGAATGACAGAATGGGTGGATTTGGAAGGGACGTATAGAGATCATCCAGTCCAAACCCCCTGCCAAGGCAGGGTCACCTGGAGCAGGTGACACAGGAACACATCCAGGTGAGTTGTGAATGTCTCCAGACAGGGAGACTCCAAGAGCAGCCTTGCCAGTTCTTTGCCACCCTCAATGTAAAGAAGTTCTTCCTCATTTCAAGTGAAATCTCTTATGTCTTATTTCATGGCCATTGCTCTGTCGCTCAGCACCACTGAGATGAGCCTGGCACCATCCTCCTGGCACCTGCCTTGGAGATATTTACTTGCATTCATGAAATCCCCTCTCAGTCTTCTCTTCTCCAGACCGAACAGGCCCAGTTCTCGCAGTCTCTCCTCACAGGACAGAAGCTCCAGAGCCCTCCCCATCTCTGTGGCTCCGCTGGACCCTCTGCAGCAGTTCCTCGTCTCCCTTGCACTGAGAAGCCCCGAACTGGGCACGGTAACGGACGCTCATTAAACCACCCCCCAGGCAGTAATCTGGTGTTCAGACACTGTCACCCCAATGTTTGATCACGGTGACGCCTGAGGGCCCCACCCGCGACATGACGGCTGCCGTGACGCCCGGCGGGCACAGACACGTCACTGCAGTGACGTCACGCGGGGCCACAAGCCGAGTCGTGCGTTGGGGCCACCAAGGCAGCGACATTCAGAGGCTATTTCGCCCTTCCCCGCCGCTGTGAGGGACGCGGGGCCGAACCCTTTTCCTCTTCCATCCCCATTCTCATTCCCGTTCCCGTTCCTCTTCCCCTTCCGCCTCCGCGCTCCCGGTAACCCGTCCGTCGCCAGGACCCCGCGCGGGGCTGCCCTGCGCGCTGCCTAACCCCCGCCCGTTGGGAAGCGCCGCTCCGCTCCGCCTGCAGCCGCGGCTCCGCCGCCGTGAAGCGGCGCCGCTCCTCCCTTCGCGCCCGGGCGTGGCGGGGCGGGCGCGGCGGGCCCGGTCGGGGCGGCGCCGTGGGTCAGGCAGCGCGGCGGCGGCCCGGTCGCCGTGAGGGCAGAAGCGCTCGGGGGCCTCGGAGGGGCGGAGGAGGAGGCGGTGGCGGCGGCGGCGCCGGGCGGGCCCATGTCGGCACCGGGCACAGGTACCGCGGGCACCGACGGGACGGGAGGGCGGTGCCGGGGCGTGTGTGAGGAAGGGGACTCGGGGACGGCAGGAGGGGGGCACGGGGAGGGGCGCTCCGCGGGCGGAGGGGCCGTAGGGCTCGGAGTAGAGAAGGCTCGGGCGGCGGTGCCTGAGAGCACGGGGAGAGGGAGGCCGGGAGAGGAGCGGAAGCTGCTGGTCCCATCCAGGAAAAGGCCTGGGCTGCGGAAGAACTGCGAGCGGGGACTGGGGTGGTAGCGAAGGAGGTTTTTTATACTTAGTGCCTTGTCTATAGGCCTCTGTTTCACGGTGGAAAGCGCGTTCATGCAAGTCCCGCAGCAAAACATTCTCCCCGAGAGATACAGAAGCGAAAGTAAAAGTGCCCGGCTGTTCGGCAGGCTGGCCAGAAGATGTGTCAGTGGCCTGAAGTTGTGTCAGGGGAGGCTTAGGTTGGATATCATGCAAAGGTTCTTCATCCAGAGGGTGGCTGGGCACTGGAACAGGCTCCCCAGGGAATTGAGCACAGTACCGAGCCTGTCAGAAGTTAAGAAGCGTTTGGACAGTGCTCTCAGGTGCATGGTGTGACTCATGTGCAGAGCCAGCAGTTGGACTTTGATGATCGTTGTGGGTCCTTTCTAAGTCAGGATATTCTGTGATTCTGTGACCCTTCCCTGCCACTGAGTGGGGGACTCCTCTCTCTTCACTACGGGTTTTTTTCTCTTGTGTGCTGCGTCTCATCTTCCAAAACCTTTAAGTTTATTTTCTTCTCACTGACCTGGGTATTTTACTTATGCATATTCCCTTGCATTAAGAGAACCTTAATTGCATTTCAGTTCTTGAAACTTACAACCTTCTAGTGGTGTGATAACTAGTGATGGAGTAGTTTGTTCCCCTTTGAGATTTTTCAGTCAGTCAGAGGTACACATCTTGACTACATTTGTTATCTCCTATATATTTTTTTGTAATAGAGTAGCTGCAGAAAGGACTGTTTATGTAATCCATTTAACTTCTACATGAATGTACTGATGAAAAGGCATAATAATGACATGAACTCCGTAAGTCAACAGACAGGACAAACTAAAAAAATGTCATTGTGTTTAGTTTAATGGAACTGTATTTCCTTCCCTCATACTTGTGTTTGCAAACATGGGGATTCTGGATCATGTTACTGCAGGCTTTGAGAGTAGACTTTTTACCGACTTGAGAGGATTGCTTTGAGGGCTGAGGTGTTGATGTTATTCTTTTATGCTGAATTGTGTGTAAATTCATGACGCCGAATACCTTATATTATTCTCTGTTTTCCTCAAGAGTAAATCCACAGATGTTTTTTCTTAAATGTTACTTCTGTATTTCAAGACTATTTCTTAAGCCTCTGAGCTCAGATTATCACGAACCCAGTCCCATTCTTTCAAATCCCAAGATTATTGTTTAAAAAAAGAAGAAACTTAAGTACAGTAAAAATTGACTTAGGTACAAATGAGCCAATGTTTGTCAAATACTGAAAAATTAAGAGAAATAGTTCCCTCTAAAAAACATAGTATGTCTAGGTGCTGAAACTGAGAAGGCGTGTTAGAGCATGTAAGTGTCACTACAGAAATGGGCTGCCAGGAGTCCAAAGGCACAGAGATGTTCGTCTTGTCTCTGTTTTCTCTGTCCTTCCTAATTTTCCAGTGTGAGTGCTGGTTTGTCCTGTCTGTTGACTTACGGAGTTAATGTCATTATTATGCCTTTTCATCAGTACATATATGTAAATGTGAGACATTAACTAGAATGAAGTTTCTCTTAATGTTTCCGTGCTATCTTCACCTTGTTTCCTTTATGTTTATGGAAATGAGGCCCAGGTGTGCCGGCTGTTTCCGGTTTTCCCTTTTTCCCACAACTTTAGGGGAAGTTGCTGGTGGGCCAGCTCTACTCTGCCTGTCACGGGGGCCGTGTGCTGGCTGAAAGCTCAGCCTGGCTGTAGCTCCGTGCTGGATCAGCCCGGGTGTAGCTTGGAGGCAGCGGCAGCACCGCCTCCTCCTGCCCTCGGGCGTTTGGTGTCGGCGCGAACGAGCTGGCAGAACCATCGGAAAGGTTTGGGAGATAAGGAGCTGTACACGTAGCAGGTATTGAGAAGTATTGCAGCATACCTGTTCTGGGATACAGAACAGAAACCTACTGTAAAACAAGATTTAGGGGTTTTTTTGGACTCCAGTGTTCACTGGGAAAAAGTGGATAATACTATCTTGTTGTCAAAACCGTAATGTGCCCAATTATGCTCCATCCCTTTTCTTTTTTTCCCATCTTCTCTGGTTTGCTTTTATACAAGCAAACATCAGCTGCATCTTTAGAACAGAATTCTGAGTTCCTAAGTTTAGTAAGAGCTCAAGTACTATAATGATTGTGGTAAATGACCATGTTGTTGAAAGTTACATGTGTAGCTGGATATTTTGTTCAGAGTATTGGAATTGTGGCATGTTGTTCCAGCATTTCCTTAAACATAGGCAACACCTTCCGTCTTTAGTTAAGTGCTGATTTTATAATAATACTGTTTTAAGATCAATCTTCTTGGAGTTCAAGTAGTTCTTGAGATCTGAAATTTCATGGTTGTAGACATGCATTAGGGAGCCAAATGTGCTACTGCTTGTTTAGGCAATGCTGATTTGATTTCCATAAATCAGTGTCAGAGACATTTCTCCATTGGATCTGTTGCCAGTTGCTGCTAGAGGCCAAGTCATGAATAGGTTCCCCATTGGTAAGTTGTCAGTGCCCAGATGTGAGTACTGATACTGTAAATCTTTGCAGACCATTTTTTGTTCAGAAGCCCCAGAGGAGCACCTTAAATATTGTAAATACAGAGTTTCATCTGGGTGAGATAGACTGTATATGAATCTGTCATTTTATTGTTTGGGAGATGGCAGAGGGAATGTGCAATGCTTTTTAAGAAACATCTTCTTTATTGTAAAGTGTTACTTATAAAATAGTTAATACCAGAAGCACTCTGCATTAGATTGGAATGCAAGTGTCTCATTATCCATTCTGAGTAGATGCAGGGAATTGGTGAATCTAGCATGTTTTCATCATCCAGAGTAAAATGTTAGAAAGCAAAAGTAGGGGTGGCCATTGGGAATCAAACTGGTGTTACTAATTAAAACGAAGTGATGGCCCTTCAGAAGGCATTGCTTGCAATGGTGTCCTATCAGTCCCACCTATACATGCACTTGAAGCTTGTAAATATGTGAAAATTATTTTTGGTTTTAAGAAATAAATTTCGCCTGAAGTAAAAGCCTAGGTGGTTCCAATTGCCTCTTGTGGTCCTGCCTGGCCCAGCTGACCCTGACATGAGTCAGCAGAATGCCCTTGCATTCTAGGCTGTAGTATCAGGAGTTAACTGTAAGGCTGAAGACGGTGAGTCTTCCCCCTCTGCTCGGTACTTAACACATCCAGGTGTGGGTTCTCTGTTCCCAAGAAGGGCATTGACACACTGAAATAAGTCTATTGGAAGATCACCAAGAGCACAGGGAGGCTGGAGGACATACCTGAAGAGAAACAGAGAGAACTGGGCTCTTGATATGTAAGAAGAGAGGGGAAAATCTTATTGCTGTCTTAAGCAATCAAATGGGACAGCATAGTGAAGATGAAGCTGACTTCTCCTCAAAGTTGTGCAGGGATAGGATGGAAAAAACCACAGTGTGGGGCATGGCAATTTCCAGTTTGGGATTAGGAAAAGCTTTTTCTCAGCGTGCCCAGAAGGGACCATTGCTTCTCTGTTCCTGGAGATCCTAAAGCCTTAGCCAAGCCTCTGATCTGCTTGAATCTGCTTGGACTGAACTAGGTGCTAATTGCAGTTTCCTCCTAATCAAAATTGTCCTGTGATTTTACCCTTTTGTGTTCAGTATATGTTATCTTTTGTATCCTTAGCCAAATGAAACCAAAGCTTAGAGGGCTGAAAACCCCAGAGGCTAAAGCTCCTACAAAAATGTTGGTTGAGTAGAAGGAGAGAGAAATTGTAGCCTTTGATAAGTCTTGATAATTGCAGCCTTTCTGGTATTATTTCCATTTGCTCTGCTGACAGGGAGGTTTGTGTGTACAACTTAGTCAGCATTGCTTGCTCTTCAGCTGCTGCTTGTGCTGAGTGCTGGAGATTCTGAGGGAATCTGGGAAGGGGGTGAGGAAAGAGGGAAGCAAGCTGATGTCTTTTCACAGTGAGGATAATCAAGCATTGGAACAGTTGGCCAGGGAAGGTTGTGCAGTTTCTTTCCTTGACGCTTTTCAAGACTGGAGGAACAGTCTTGTCTGAACTCATTACTGACCCTGCTTTGAGCAGGAGGTTGAATTACTTGAGGTCCCATCTAACCTGCATTATCCTATGAGCCTAAGTAGTGGTAGTGGAAGGGGGAGTATTCTTAGGAGATGTGTAGAAAGGTCAGTGAGATGCTGATGTATCAAGCATGTACTTATTTTTAAGTTGAAGATACTTTGTTTTCATCAGTCTCGAATTGTTTTTCTTTCAGGTGGACTTGTTTATGTTCAAGATATTGCATTCCTTGGGTTGTAGAATCTGCAAGATGCTTTATTTCACAGTTCATGCTGAAGACAACTTTGCAGAACAACATGCTTAGAAAATGATTCATTTTTACCTGTCAGGTCTATTCCGTAGTTCAAGAAAACGTAAACCTTTATTCTGATGAGTCACACGTTTGTGAGTTAAGTGAATATGGGTAGGCTGTGAAAAATGACTAAAATATCAATAGCAATTTAAAAGTAATTGTTTTCCTGTGCTTCTGCAGGTTTGCCTGGGTAACACAATGCCAGCTGAGCGCAAAAAGTCAGCAAATATGGAAGAAAAAGAATCTCAGTTAAATAACAAAGAATTTAGTGAAAGGCGACCAGTGAGCACCAGGGAAAAGCCAAAAGAAGATGTGAAGGTTGGCATGAAGAGAGAGACTTTAAAGGTTCCTGAAGATAAAAAGAAAAAAATGGAAGAGGATAAAAGAAAGAAGGAAGACAAGGAGAGGAAGAAAAAAGAAGAGGATAAAGTAAAGGCAGAAGAGGAGCAGAAGAAGAAAGAAGAAGAAGAAAAAAAGAAACTTGAAGAAGAGGAGAAGAAGAAACAGGAGGAGGAAGAGAAAAAGAAACAAGAAGAAGAAGCTGCTCAACTGAAGTAAGTTATCTTTTAAAGGTTTAATTGTGCCAAATGCTGGAGTTCTGTTATCAGGAATGTGGTCAGAGTTACAAAAGGTGAAGTGTTGGAGTTACTTTTAAGAAGTTGCATGTAGTGTTAGCAACTTTATGTGGCTGTCTGATTGTGTTTTATGATTTCTAAGAGGTTTTGAGCTTTCACTTGTAATTTCTGTTGCTTTGGTCTCTGTTATGGGGGTTTGACAGTGTTCTGCATGTGACGACCAAGGAGAGCACAATTATGTTTGAATAAATATTGTGATTTAACCCCAGCTGGCATCAGCCCCACACGGCCATGCCCTCCCCTCAACAGGATGAGGAAGAGAATCAGAAGAATAAAAGTGAGAAATCTCATGAGTTGACATAAAGACAGTTCAATGGGTACAGCAGAAGCTGTGCAGGCAAGCAAACCAAAACAAGGAATTCATTCCCCACTTCCCCAGCAATCCCCAGGACTGCAAGGCTCTGTCAAATGTAACAGTGACTTGGGAAGACACACCATCACTCTTATCATTCCTCCCCTTCCTTCTTCTCCCAGATTTACGTATTGACCATGATGTCATATGGACTGAGATATCCCTTGGGTCAGTTGGGGTGAGCTGTCCTGGCTGTGTTCCCTCCTAACTCCTTGTGCAGCCCCTGACTCCTTCTTGCTGGGGTGAGGAGCAGAAAAGGCCTTGACTGTGTGTAAGCCCATCCCAGCAATAGTGAAAACATCCCTATGTTATCAGCACTGATTCCAGCACAAATCCAAACCACAGCACCATACAGGATACTCTGAAGAAAATTAATTCTGTCCCAGCCCAAACCAGAACAATAAAGAAGCACAGATGCATTTAAGATGAAGTGTTATTGCCCAAAAATTGGGAATATAGACTCTTAGCAGGCCTACAGACTGTACATAACAGGAGCAAATCTGATGTGAGAAATGACTGTCATTTCTTTTAAATATTTAGAAAACAGATACTTGGATGGCAAACTCAGAATGTAACTTGGCAGTTTAATATGTCATATTACCAAGACGATGTTTCTTAGTGTGTTATCCAATGGTAGTACGGTGTTGAAGGTGTCATCTTTAGACCAGTAAAGCTGAGGTTCTGGCCATTCTGAGGTCTGAAATATTTCACTTTTAAGACTGAGGCAATGTCATAGCCAAATTCTAGGTGGGACAGATATATTTCACCTATTCCAAATCTTCTGTGTACTTTCAGTAGTCTGGCAATAAAAGTGTAGTACAGTGACCTGTTGAAAGGCTGTTTCCTCTTCCTCTGTCAGAACTTCATCTCCATCTGTAGTAAATGGAGTTTCGTGTTTATATTTTCAAAGTCTGTTGGGAATAATATGTTCAGCATATTAATCCCAACAAATATTTGAGAAATTTTGTTTTGTAACAAGTAGTACTTGCCCTTTGCAACACAAAATTTAAACAGTTTCTGAAGCAGATGCTTTAGCTTTCTAGGATTAGCTTGGTAGATATTTAAGAAGAGAGGTGAAATTGTGTTAGAACTCCTAAAGATTTTCCAGCCTTTTTCCTTTGAACTGATATCCTGAGGTTAAGGCTCCATAACCAAAATAACTACTTTTTGTGTCACACAGGGAGAAAGAGGAAGCACATCAGCTCCATCAGGAGGCTTGGGAGCGGCACCAGGCAAGAAAAGAGCTCCGCAGCAAAAACCAGAACGCACCGGAGAGTCGTCCGGAGGAAAACTTCTTCAGCAGACTGGACTCCAGTCTGAAGAAGAACACAGCTTTTGTTAAGAAGCTAAAAACCATTACAGAGCAACAAAGGGACTCCTTGTCCCATGACTTTAATAGCCTGAATTTAAGCAAATACATTGCAGAAGCAGTAGCTTCTATTGTGGAGGCAAAACTGAAAATATCAGACGTGAACTGCGCTGTGCACTTGTGTTCCCTCTTTCACCAGCGATATGCTGATTTTGCTCCTTCATTACTTCAGGCTTGGAAGAAACATTTTGAAGCAAGGAAAGAAGAGAAGACTTCCAACATTACCAAGTTAAGAACTGATTTGCGTTTCATTGCAGAATTGACAATAGTTGGGATTTTCACTGACAAGGAAGGTTTGTCTTTAATCTATGAGCAACTTAAAAATATTATTAACGCTGATCGAGAGTCCCACACTCATGTTTCTGTGGTTATCAGCTTTTGTCGGCACTGTGGAGATGACATTGCTGGTTTGGTACCAAGGAAAGTAAAAACTGTTGCAGAGAAGTTTAACTTGAGCTTTCCTCCTAGTGAGATAATTAGCCCAGAGAAACAACAGCCCTTCCAGAATTTGTTGAAGGAATACTTTACATCTTTGACCAAACACCTGAAAAGGGACCACAGGGAGCTACAAAATATTGAAAGACAAAACAGGTGACAATTGAAAGTTGCTTTTTACTTATGACTTAAAATTAGTTTCTTTATTAAATGCCTAGATTTGCTGCAGTATGTAGAAAAAAGTCTGTTAGCAGTGTGTAGAAAATAAGTGTGTTCTGCAGTGTTTCTAAAAAAAAGTTCTAAATTTGTTCTGAATACTTAAAAAGCAGAGACAAGACAGACTCTTTGAATATCTTTTAAAGGAAAGGGAGGTTGACCTTTAGCTGTAATTCTCTTTACTCTGGTGCTGTTTCCTTTATCAGCATGAGAGCAATGCTGCTTTCCCAGCTGGTACTGTCCTTTTCCAGTTGGCACAATCTGATGTCTCCCTTTTCCACCCACATGTATCTAACGAAGCATATGCCACAATTGCTTTGGCTTGTTTACTTTTTTTGGTGTACTAAGATGAAGGAAAACATAGGTTAAATTAAGAAGATATCTGCTACATTCCAAGGTGGACAAATATATATTAAATAAATGTATTAAATTGTTGGAGAGCAACAAATAGACTTTGATAAAAGTCCTCCTGAATATTTATATGTAGTACTAATTTTCCAGGGTATGAGTATGCAGACCTTGAGATCTGAATAATTTTATTTTTGCCATGTTCACATTGTTTAATAATTATTGGCTTTAAACCATTCTGAATTCTCATTATTGGAGCCAGCCTAAACCCAAATGCCATTCTTAGAACAGTCTTTCTTAATTTCTTCTGGAAGCATTCCAGTTAGATAGAAGTGAACATGCTACTGTGTATAGGCACATATTTTGTCTGGAAGATTGGACATCCATCCAGAGCCAAATGTATGCTTGGAATGCATTAAATTTTTATGTTTCCAAACCAAGAATCCAGTGTGCTGATGAGTTTTGTGCTGCAGTCCTATCTGGTCTCAGCCAAGTGTTGAATTTCACAGGATCATAAACTGACTTTTGAGGTACTGTTATTTCTACAAGTACCTTACTAGTTCAAAGTGCATTAGTGACTTAGGTGTAATTTTTTCAAAGTGAATTAATATGAACCTTTCTACTTTCACAACTGTCATTGGTTCTGGCTGGTGTTTCAGTGAGTGGATGTTACAAAGTCTGTATGATAGAAAACAGTGAAAAAAGTTTCTGAGAGGTATCAAATATGTTAAGAAACCAAGAAGCAGAAAGAATGTGAATTATCTGGGAGAGAGAAATACACATTAATATTCCTTTGTACAGCTGGATAAAAATGACTGGACAGGGCCTGAGCAGCCTGGTCTGACCTTATCACTGAGCCTGCTTTGAGTAGATCAGACAAGGGCACATGAGGGACCTCTGAGCACCTTGTCATCTGAATTATCCCTGTGAACTTGGGTGCAAAGCTTTGTTTTGGGGAAGGAATGTGAAGAGCTATCATTTATCAGTGGAATAAGAGAACTCTCTTATTTCTCTCTCTGAACTTTAAGGTGTTTAACTCCTTAATAAATGTTGAGGAATAAGTTTTGTTAAGTAAGACATCACAAAACTTTCCTACCAGATTTTACTTGTTTACAACATCTGTAACAAATTCGTGGCATTTGCTTGCTATGGAAGTGCAAGGCATGAGGATGACAAGACAAAAATTTGTTGAGTAAGAAGTCTATGAGTATTACAGAAATCTTCCTAAACTGTGGATTTTGGAAGAGTGATTGTGCATTTGATTCCTTACTTGTTTTGGAATGATTTTTTTTAATTGTGGGTGGCAGGTTTTTTTGAGGTGTTTTTGTTTGATTGGGTTGGTTTTGATTTTTTTTTTTAAACCAGTAATCCTATAGGTTAAAGGAGTTCTCTGTGTATTAAAAATTGGATCCATTTTTTATTCATTGTGTTATTCCATAATCAATGAAATGAATAGGGAGTGAACTGTTTCCTTTTGTGCATCAACTGCATCACATGTTTAGGTTATGGTATTTTTTCAGGTAAATAACTCATCAATTTATCTCTGTCAAGAGAATGACTGTGAAATAATTTAAGCTGTACAATTTGGTTGAATTAATTGAAAATTACTATGCTAAATTAACAGTGCTTTAGTGTTGTGTTACCTGTGGAATCATTTAGGTAAAATTAAAGCAGACTCAAGCATTGCTGGTTAAGTGGATAGGTAGGAAAAAGTTCCTTGAGTTACTCTTTGACTTTAATATAGACATAACATAGAACCTGGTGGTAGTGTGGTTACACAGCTGAGGCCACAACAAAACTTCTCAGGCTGTGTCGTTGGAAGGAAACACCTTGATTTCCAAATTCTGGAGAGATTTTTCAAAAATATGTGTTAGCTATGGAAGAAACTTCTTTTGTCTAAATTAAGGATGTTTTTAAGACGTGCTGAACTTGCCTTGTGCTTTGAAGAGACATAAAGTAAGACACGTACTGTGTGCTGTCCTTGTAATTGTATTCAGAGGTGAACTGTGCTTTTAAAAGTTTGCTTCATTTGCTTTAGTTTCTTTGAATTTGCTAACACTTGTCTTCTTGGAACTGAAATTGAGAACTGAAAGTCTCGTACTATTGTTACACCACTTTGCTTTTTTTGTTTTTTAATAGTAGCAGAGAGCTTCAATGCTCGTGTTGATAAAGCTGCTGGTTTAAAGTATGTATGCAATGGACAGCAGTGTCCATGGAAAAGCTATGAATTGACACTTAATGTATTTCCTGAATTCAAACTGAACTGAACTTCACAAATAGTCAGTAGTTAGTTAATTTGTTAATTTTTCTTTGCTGTACTCTGCAGGAGCAGGCAATACATGTTAAATAAGTGCGTTTTGTCAGAGAAATAGAAGTTTTGCCAGCATTAATGCTTCTTGCTCTCTAGCCAGACACCTGTGTCCACTTCTGGTTCTGAGCAGGGATAAGGGATTTTGTTGCTCACCCTGTGAATGTGTACAAAGAAGACTTTTGTTTTGCAATTAGCCTAGAACAAGAAGACTGATATCCCTCAACTTACATTGCCTTAACTATTTCAGAATTCTTATGCCACAAAATGCTTATGTCATTTGGCAAGACTGTGACTCTTTGCCTATTGCATAATAAAAGCCTAATGGTATTGGAATCCTACTGATGATAATGTAATGATACAACCTGCTTTGGGAATTGTGGCATTTGCACCTTTTTTCAGACTTCTGATGCTTCCATCTCAGCTGTCTGGTCAGTGGTTCCAGCACTTGTAAGCAGTGATTAGGTTCCTTCAAACGCAAGTTACTTTTGACAACAGATTTCGATTTTAAAAATTATTATTTGAAACAAGTAGTTTTGTAAAAGAAAATAAAGAGCAGCTGAAGAAACAAATGTAACTGCTCATAATTTGGACCAGTAGCCTTGAAATAACTTGGTTTGTTGGAAAGTCACTGGACTGCTTGAAAATTTTTTGACCCTCCTGGTGATAATAGCTCATGTAATCATTTAAACTATATGGAAATGGATTGTTAGAGTTGCAAAGCAACTTTTAGCTAGCTTGTTGATAAAGTTGAATATTTTATTTTACTATGTAAGTCTTTTTAGGACTATTACAGCCTAATTTTGGCAAAGAGTAAGTGGGCCTTTCTCTTTGGACATGGAAGCTGGAGATTCTGTGACTGTACTGTCCTCAGTGGGATCAAACTTGGAAATTCAGTGTAGTTTGGAAAAAGAATAGTGTCATTTAAATGTCTGCTATTGCAGTCTAAATTAGAATTGTTACAGTTCCCTCAAAGAGGGTAGGTTAGCTTTGCTCAAAGAAATTCCTAATGGTTCAGCATAGCTCAAATGTATTTTAAGGAAAAAGGTGTTCTTACTGTAAGTTTGGTTTTTGTAGACGGATTCTCCACTCCAAGGGAGAGCTGAGTGAAGATCGACACAAGCAATATGAGGAATTTGCAATGTCATATCAGAAGCTGTTGGCAAATTCTCAGTCTCTGGCTGATCTTTTGGATGAGAACATGCCTGACCTCCCCCAAGAGAAGCCAACGCCTGAGGGTAAGCCAGGTTCTAAAGCAGGTCAACAGAGCTCGGGACTCAGCTTAGATGTGGTGGAAAAACTAACCAAACCCTCTTACCAATGTGTTCTTTTTGCTGGTTTCATTTCATTCAGCCTTTCCCCCTGGAGGATATCAGCTAATGAATAATACATTTATTTTCTTTAATTAAAGTAATTATACCTAATATGTAACCATAACTGTTGTATATTCTGTGTAGTTATGGAAACCTAAGTAATATCTCTTTAGGTTTTTTTCTGGGGATAGAGTAATAAATGGAAAATTAAAAACATTTTTAACCTGATCCTTTTCTTTAATATTATGCAGTTTTTAGTATTTAAAAACTGTTAGAGTTTTAAAATCTGATACTGTTAAAAAATACATTTGAAGTCTATTTTGGGCCATATTGTTATGGGCAGGAACATATTGTTTAGCCAGATAAGTCACTAGGTGTGGCTGTCTGGCCTCCTGAGCAGACGTGCAGCTTTCAATGCATCTAAATCTAAACTTTGGGGTTTGTTGAGATGTTGTTGAAACCTTGAGTATCTTTTACCTTAAATTATCTTACACTTTAAAAAGCTGTGTTTCTTGATTGCCTCTAAATATTTAATTATTCTTTTTAAACTTCATTCTGAAAACTCAGTGGGGTACAGTTCGTCATACTCAAAGTGATTACTTTTAATGCTAATGTTAGTAAAGTGTGTTATAACTTTCTGATACCACATAATGTGTTGCTTAGTTTTTCTTAATTTGACTTCCTGTGATTCTGTATTTTCAATCAAAATGAAATTTATGATTTTAAGATAATTTCTTGATGTTTAATAGATTGAACACTTTCAAGTATGCGTTGAAATACTTAGATGAAAACAGGGGTAGGAATAAATAGTTTAACACTTTGCTAAAAGACTGTTAATCTCTAAGCTGCCTCCCCATAGAAGGTTGTAAATTTATGTAAATAACTTTCTTATGATTTCACTGTTTTTGCAGAACATGGACCTGGTATTGATATTTTCACACCAGGAAAACCTGGAGAATATGACCTGGAGGGGGGTATCTGGGAAGATGAAGATGCTAGAAACTTCTATGAGAATCTCATTGACTTGAAGGCTTTTGTGCCAGCAATTTTATTTAAAGATAATGAAAAATATTCCCAGAGCAAGGATTCCAGCAAAGATGAATCAAGAGGTAGGATGCTTAGGTGCCTGTTTTCTTCAGCATATCTTGTCCAACAGATAAACAAACTTGATATAAGTAATGAGTCTTTAATGAAATAATTTGTGGTAATCAGAACAGTACACCACTTTGGATGAATTTTTAGGGAATAAACTAAGTGGGGTAGGGATTATATCTGGTTATTAAGGAAGGAAAAAAACTAAATGCATTTTAATATTGTTAGAATTGTAAATTCCAAGTAATTGTAGGTTAACCAGTGTGAGTAAATACCAACTTTTCTGTGAGAAATGAGAAGAGTTTTCTGTTTTTTGCAGATTTTCGTGTTTGGGGGTTTTTCCACTGTTATTTTCTTATTAAATTATTAATAGTAGATGACTTTGTCAGCATAAATTTTCACTAGATTTGAAGGCCTGGGTGGTTCCTCAGTTCTAACACAGCTCTCAGTTCACAGCCAGGTGTGTGCAGACTTCAGGTGCAGTGGGATAAAAAGTTCTCATCCCTGGCTCAAAGTGTAACAGAAGGTGCATGTTTGGAGAATTCTGACATTTCCCTGTAAGGATCTTTAGATATTGGAGCAGCTTGCCCGGGGAGACTGGAATCTCTGTTTTACCATTTTAAAACAACTGGAAATATACCTGAGAAATCTGGTGTGAATAGTGTTCATCCACTTTGACCAAAAGGTTGAACTTGAGAGATCACCAAAGTCCATTTCAGATTAATTTTGTCTGTGATTCTAAACATGTGACATTTTTGAGTCTGTATTTCCATATGATGTGTGCACTGTTCAGAAGTTGTCACACTCGGCTTTGAAAAATTTTAGAATTTTAATAAGGTTATCTGCCTTGAAATTTATTTTTTTAAATTAACTATAATCTCTTGTAAAAATGCTCAGTGTTAGATCAGTATTGTGGTCCAAGAGAAATATTAACTATTCTTTTCTGAATCTTTATCAGATTCAGATACTATGTTCAAGGAAACTAATAATGTTTTTTTGACTTTTTATATAGCATATTATTTCATCAACTTCCTCCTGTTCTGCTTTTTCCTTTTTTTTCTTCATCTGTGTAAAAGATTTTCCATTAAGACACTAAAGAGTTGTAGGTTTAGCAGCATTCATCTTTCTGTATTCTAATATGATTTGTATATTTAACAATTTATTAGTATTTATTTGGTATTTCTACATAACTTGTAAATAGATTCAAAAGATGCCAAAGATAATAAGGAAGCAGCTGGGAATGAGGATCTGGAATTGGAGCTGGAGAACCTGGATATTAATGATGATGCACTGGAGTTGGACTGTGGAGATGAGGCAGAAGATCTTACAAAGAAGCTTCTTGATGAGCAAGGTAAAAAGAATTGGTTTTAAGAATTCTTAATGATTTGGTTGTTTTTTTAACTTGATTGTTTTAGTTTGTGGATTTGTAGAGTGCATTCAGGGTATTTATTTATTAAACTAGTAGCTAGAAACTTTTAGGATTGTGATAAATGTTTTTGTATCAAGTCATTCAGATACAAGTGAAAATTATTTTAAAGATGTTTATGTAGTGAAAGTTAGCCATTCCTTCACACAGCTTTTAAAAGTAAGCAGATATAAAGGCAGTTGCCTGAAAAGTGACTACAAAGAGGAATGAATACTTAACAACTAAACATTACAAATGTATTGTTTGGGGAATATGTTCATAAGTTATTATATTTCATAGTTTAAAGATGTCTGCTGTTTTTTTATTTGCCTCTGTTAGAACAAGAGGATGAAGAAGCCAGTACTGGATCTCATTTAAAACTCATAGTAGATGCTTTTCTTCAGCAGCTTCCAAATTGTGTCAACAGAGACCTCATAGACAAGGTATGGTCATAGTTTCAGTTTTTTACACTCTTAAAAGTCGTAATGCTAGATCAGATAGATAGGAGATAAAGATTTCAAGCTTTGGAGTCTGACAGTAGCTGAATTAATTTTTAATCAGTCTGTATTCCCCTCAGTGGACATGTTTTCTAACTATGCCAGTTCTAGCCAAAACTGAAGATTTTTCTTTATGGTTATGTTTAAAACAGCTGCATTTAGTGGGTATAGCTCTGTAAAAGCAATGTTCAAACACCATTTTCTGTTGCTTTCTTGAAAACCCAGTGCATTAAAGTGAAGCATTGCATTAACTTTCCTCTTTATAGGCAGCGATGGATTTTTGCATGAATATGAATACAAAAGCCAACAGAAGAAAACTGGTACGAGCACTTTTCATAGTTCCTAGACAAAGGTAAGAACAGAAGGGGACCAAGCTGGATCCACCCATTTATTATTTAATTTAGCATGTGCATGTATTTTTTAACTTATTTATTTGTTTATTCCTGATGTGCACTTTTGGAGTGACTTATGCTGTAGCACCAAAGAAATATTTAGAATCAATCATCCAGCCTGCTGGTAATTATGAAATGCATCAAAACACAATGTGAGAAGAATTTCTTTTTCACAGCTTAGAACATGTACAGCAATGTAAATCAGCAGGAGCACTTAGACTTTTGTCTTCAGCTCTGCCATGATAGAGAACTTTCAGTGCTTGTAAAATGGAAGTGGCTTTTTGGCTGGTCTATGACCATACGGTAATGTTTGTACCACTGCCCTGTATTGTTTCCTGGTGCTGTAGGTTCCAGATTGCTGAAATTGATTATTAACTCTTGGAATCTCTTTGAAAATCCTTTATTCTCTTTGCATAATCTGCTGAATTGTGCTAGGTGACAGTGATCTGAAGGAACTTGTAGATGTGCACAGCAAAAGGAGGTACTTTCAAATAGGAACAGCATGATAAGGCTTATAAATTCAGCAGTGTGACTTCATAGGTGGCATGAAAGCAAAAGTTAAATTCCTGATATATTGTACTGTGAAAAAATGTGTCTGTGATCAGGCTGTACTATGAACAGAGTTAAGAAATTCCTAGAAGCATACATAGTTTCCTCATTGCCATTGTTTTGTCATCTTCCCAGTGCTAATTCTGTTGCCCTACAGGTTTGTATTAAAAGTAATAATAATTTTTAAAATACTAACTTTTTTCATAGACCACAACAGAGCAGGATAAGTGGTGGGGATAGCCTCAAGGAGCTACTACATTTGTAATGGTTCTGGTCTCCAGTAGCTGGAACTAACACTGAAATGAATGGTTCAGCTGATCTCTCACTGTTGGTCTTTGATTATAAATATGAATGGTTCCTAATATAAAGAAGTATTAACATTTGATGTACAATTCTTTTTTAATTCCTTTTCCTGCTGTCTGCTTTGGGACCTACTTGACTAAGAAATACTCAAACCATCTTGATTCTGTTAGGATCTTAAGTTCAGTTGTTTATGTGCCTGCATCGGTGACCCCATCTCTGGGCTACTCAGCTGGAGAAAGAGGATGTTGACTGAGCTGCTTGTTCTGAACACAAGCAGTTGGAATGTAAATCCCAGCTGAAGATAGATGCAGACAACTGCCCATAGATACAGACAATTTGAAAGGGCAACCTATCCAATATTTAAGTAAACTGTATTGCTGTGGTTGGTAAAAGAGCAGTTCTGCTGTGTGTCTTCAAGTCAACATCATAATCCTCTCTGATGTATAAAATTCTATATATTCTGTAACACACTGCTTTGAGGCTTTGTGTACTGTGCATTAACAATGATTTTGTTTTGTATATCACTTAACCATAATGATGTGGTTTTACCTTCCATTATTGTTGTTCCATACTTGTTTTTACTAACCCAGGAATTTTTGCAATGTCTCTGGGATACTGTGGGAGAAGAGTGCTTGTTATGCTAATGTTTTTGAGGAAGGTTTTTTCCTGAAAGTTTCAGAGTGGTGTCCTTAAGGATGGAGATAAAGTAGTATGTTTTCCAAAAGCATTTAGTCCAAGCATATCAGTTTGATGTTTAAGTTTAGCTGCTTTATTTCCAGCCATAATGAGGTATTTCAATGACAGAATAAGTTCTCTTTTTTTCTGAGATCACTTTTAGGAGATGTGCAGGCACAACAGTTTCATCAAGAAAGTGTAAAACTGTTTTTTTTGTTTGAGATATAAAACAGACACTGTGAAATCAAAGTCATTATGTAGTGTTGCCAGTAGCTTTCGTGCTACCACTAGGGTTGGATAGATTGGGACAAATCAGTATTCTTCTGGACAGAAAACTTAATTTGACAAAAAAGGCCATTTCTTCCTCAACTCACTGTAAATCAGTGTTAGAATACATCATTGCCCTGCTCTGTTGAATACTGATGAATGGATCACATTTACATTTTCAGCTGTGATTTGAACCTCAAACCCAACAGAACAGAAGGCCTTTTAAAGAGATTTTTCAATGCCAGTGTACAAGTGGCTTTCACATTAGCATTGGAGGATTGATTTAAAGCTAAATATTAAGCTTTTAATCCAGAACTGCAGACTGTGATTTAACCTATACTGCTCACAATTTTAGGACTTTTGTGTGGTTCTTTGCTGTCTAACTGAATTATCTTCCTGTATGCAGAATGATTTAGATTCACCAGAATACTGCAATTTTGTAAATTATTTTCTTTTACTTCAATATGAGAAGTCTGAAATCTTTTCTTAGGCTTTAAATTTTACACAATGCTGCATAAATGCTGAGCAGTATATAGGGGCTGTCGTGGCTTATGATATTTTTTGATGTTCCTATCTATGGTGTTCTGTGAAGTTGCAGGTTTACCTGCAGTAAGAGATCAGTTGTTCATGTGGAGGTTTTTAGTGTTATTATTGGTTGTTCTTAATTCAGAAGTTAACTGCTTCTTAAGTGTTAAAATAGTTGTGCACATTTTAACTCAGAAGCTGCAAGCCTCCAGTGTATTTACTGTAAGCTTTTCATCCTGAGACTTCTCTGTACCAAGGTCCTTTTTGTTCAGTTGAACTTGACTCATCAGTGTTTCAGTGGCCTGTTTCAGTTGAGGATAAAATTGAGGGATGTGCTTGAGATCAAGGAGTTTTATGTCCTGACTAAAAAATAAAAGCCAAAAGTGCTTCCCTGGTAACATTCCAATTCCACATCATCCTTCTGTTCCCACTGAGCAGTGTGGGTGGCACTTAGTACCTGTTCAGGCCCTGTGAATGCACTGCTTTTATCCATTATGATTATACTTGTGAGGCAGGAGTTCTGGCTCCATTGCTTCATTCTTTAAGCTGTCTTGTAGAGTCACAGAAATGAGGAAATGTACAAAATGCCCCCTTCATTCTTCCAGGGCATAAAATCTTGGATGCATCCATTTTAGAGAGATTGCAATTATGACTTGGAGAAAAGTTTTCCTCTAAGTTGGTTTATGATTGGTTTTGTTTGTTTGGGCTTTTGAAAATAAACTGACATTTGAAATGGTAGGAAAAAAGATGGGCTCTTAGATATTTTACTGACATGTAGCCCATGTGAGCCGAGATCCACAGTGAGAAGATTTCAGTCCATGGTATGTGGTCTAAATGACAATGGTCAGAGGTGGTGCTTTTTACTGTGGTGGTGAATATTCAGTGTGCTTAACGTGGACTTCAGAGAGTGACTGACTCATCTCTGATGCCAGATTTTGCTTTGTAATCGAAGAGCAGGAAGAGCAAGCAATACTGTGGGTTTTGTGGGGGTTTAGTTAAGTTATTCCCCCTTCTCAAGAGAAGGAAATGCTTTTGGAGAGAACAAAGCAGTGCATGTACCAGTAGATGGTGCCACTGATACTGGAATGTCTCCACTGCTGAACATGAATTTTTGTCTCCCCTGAGAGGGAACTAACTCAATCTCTGATTGCCAGTTTCAGCATAATTAACCCAAGGCTTTTCCTTATTATATTTCACCTATTTAAAAACACCCAGTCTTAGTATCCTTCCCCATGAAGAAACCTTTTGTATCCTGCAACAGAATAACAACAATGTGCTCTAAGACTTTAATTTTCTCCCAGGTATACTCAGCTTACAGAGATGAAATTATTAGCTCTCAACAGGCAGGTACTTGTTGACACCAGAATAAAACTTTCTGGTATTTGTCTTAAAAGAATTGTCAAACAGAAATCCCCTCTGTTAAATGCACCCTCTTAGTTCAACCACAGTCCTCTCTTAGTTCAGCTTTTGTGGGTGAGTGTGAAGTAGTGAGACTTTCACTTCTCTCAAAGTTAATGACTAAATGCTTAATAACATGGTAGTAATTTGCTGTGGGTAGTCAGCCTTGACTGTGTGTTCCAACCAGCTTGAAAAATGTAAATACTGCTTCAGTTATTGATTAACAAAAGAGATAAAAACTGTTAAATAGGTAACTGAGGTAACCACAATGTTTCACCAGGAGTCTTGTGTGTTATCAGGAGGTTGCCTGATATGCTATTTTGGGGGGGTATATTCTGATGCTTCTAACCCACAATTTAAATACATAATTGTCTTTTTTTCTGTAAGTGAGTATTAAATGTCTTGGAAATGGGCTCCAGTGACATAGAAACAGAAAGGAGAAAGGAGGCAGTTGTGATGGCTTTGTTTGGGGTTTTTGTCTTGATGCTTTGTGCCAGGACAAGCTCTGTGTATGAACTGTGCTGTTGGATTTTTTGTGTCAGCATATTTTTTCTTTTCCTTTCCTAAGCAGGGAAAACCTTAATCCTTCATAAAGTGTAAACTCAAGATGCATTTTTCCCTTACAGGCAATTTCTCACTAGAAGCATGCAAATTTAGGATGTTCCTCTCCACTTACTTTGGCTTGTTCTAGAGTTCATCTGTTTACTGCATTAACTTAACATTCTGAAAATAGACTGAAAATACTTCCTTCAGCTTGTTAAATGATATTATGAGGCCTCGGAGTGCAGTTAGTTTCTCTGCATTTAAAACTGATATATACACAGCTGGTTTGCATAAATATGCAAAGGAAATGGGTGTGAAGGCATGTAATTAAGACACGAGAGGAAATAAGGAAATTCTATAGAAAACTTGGAAATATTACCATTTGTGGGAGTGCTAGAAGAGTTTTTGGGAAAAGGGTGGCCACATCACATCTGCTCAGCTTTGTTTTATGTAATAAAACAAATTCATATACATTCATATACATATAATACATTAATTTAGAAGTTTCCCACCTTACAAGTAAAGATATTCTCTACCTTCCTGGTTATATCTACTGCTTTTCAGAAAAAATATTAATACCTTGCCATAACCCATGGCCTTGTCTGTAAGAACCTTTTTTCTCATGTTGAGATGGATCTGAATCTTCTCTCTGGTAATTTTTTGTAGGTCAAATTCTGTGTTTGATGATATTCAGCATTTGAATCCTATGGCGGGAGTTAAAAAGTTAAAAAGGAAAATAATTATGAAGTATTCCAACAAGATAGGGTGGTTTACTTTCCTGTATTGTTTTTAAATGATATTACATTCTGAAGTAGGCCCAAAAAATTGCATTTATGTAGTTCTGTCAGTGCATTGACTCTTTTCACAAGTAAAATGGTACCCATATTTTTACACATAAATGCATTTTTGTCTATAAATTGTCTAAATTTTATCCTCGCCTTTGTTTGCAGATTGGATTTGCTACCATTTTATGCAAGACTGGTTGCCACATTGCATCCCTGTATGTCTGATGTAGCAGAGGATCTCTGTTCCATGCTGAAAGGGGATTTCAGATTCCATGTATGTTTTGATTATTTAGTTTTTTACTAAAACCAGATTAACCAATCTCATAAGTTGTCCTTTGTGGTAAAATCCCATTTTGTGTTGTGTAGATACTACTTCTAAAACTCAGTGATTATTTTTCTGTCAGCTCAGCAGTTCTCAAAAAAAAAAAAAGAAATTTTTGTGAACTAAGTCCTTGTAAAAGAGAAGGGTTTTGCAACTTTCCATAGATGTTTATATATTTCTATAAATGAACTGAAGTTACAAAAATTAGAAACTCTGCTCCATCTGTGTTAAGAGTTTTCTGTAAATTAATAACTTGGTTTTAAAATGAGACCTGACCTATTCTAACATTTCCCACTCCAAGGCTACTATTGTAGTGATCACTATTATCATATAGTATTTCATTCAAATTAGATTTTAGAATTTTCATCCATCAAAGTTTTCCACACAAATGTATTTTTCAGTGTTATTTCCTTCCCTTTCTTTTAAGTGTTGTAATCAAACTTGTAATGGTGCACAGTGATGACTCCTTCACCATTTTCTGAGTTTTGTGGCACAGATTTCTTTTTTTTTTTCCCCTCATACTGACATTAAAGATGTGTATAAATTGCTCAGAGTTACATGAATCTTAACTATGTTAACTTTCTCAGAAAAACCTCTTTCTGTTGGGGAAATACAATTTTCTATTTTGCAGATTATGTTTAGACATAGACATGTATTTGTGTTTTGTTCCTAAATTTATGCTAAATGTTAGTAATTTTAAAAGTCTGCACATTACTAAATCTGACTTTTTCAAGTCATCAATATTTAATATTTCCTTGAGGACAGTACATGTGGCCCTAATCACGTAGAGACTTCTTACTGATTCTGAAAACAGAATCTAAAATACTTTATCACTACTTCACTGTGGTAAAGGAGGAGGAACTATGGCTGTAGGTATGTTAGAGGAATTAATTGTTTTGGGGAATGGGGAGATGGGGAAAAGAATTGAAAATCTTCTGAAGAAACAAGGTCATAGGGAGAGTTTTAGGAAACTCAATGAAAAGTAAAGGTGGAGCTGGAGGAACCAAACCAATACCAAACACTGCTGAATTCCCAAGTGTATTTTGTGCATGTTCAGATCAAAGTATTTTAGAAGTGGATATTTTTGAGGGCCTACAATCAATTTTTGGTTATTTTTTAGGTAAGAAAAAAGGACCAGATCAACATTGAAACAAAGAATAAAACTGTGAGATTTATTGGTGAGCTTACCAAGTTTAAGATGTTCTCCAAGAACGATACTCTGCACTGTTTAAAGGTTGGTGTTGTGATAGTCCTGTACTCCTTTGTTTGCTGATAATGCATCCCCATCCCCTTCCCCTTCACTTACCTGCTGCTGATGTTACCTGAATTCATTACATGGGATGTTTTAAACCTTGGTGTCTGTGACAGCTGTGTGTGAGGAGACTTTTATAGTTGCTATAGAAGTGAGAATGTTTTACCTCTTCTAATGGGAGGAATATATTAAAATAAACTTCCACATTTGGACATAACCAAACTGCTAATAATTTTCTTTGTCAGCATGGCAGATATTTCTACTTGTTAATCTGCTGCACATTGCAAAACTCGTGTAATGTTGATTTCAATTAATGTTTTTGTGGAAAAAATAACAGTAAGGGAGAAGGAGGGAAAAAGCATTTCAGTGATGCAAGGATGGCTTTTATGCCATTTTAGCAGGTGCTTTTGTTTGTTAAGGAACAAAACCTATCTGGAAAGCATTAATCTCTAGGCACATCATCTCACTTTGCATGCTGATAAGCACTGAAACCTTGATATCAAGTCCCAAATTAAAAATAGGCTTTAAAAAATAAAGATGCCTTTAATAAAAGATTCTTGAGACTCACAACGTAACATCAGTTTCTATATGAATTGTTTCTATTCATTGACTTGTTAGATATCACAGCTGAATTCCTAAAGAAAGCATAATCAGTCCTAATTTCACCTCTCTTGTCTATAAAATGCTGTAAAATGCAAAGTGGTATTAATTATAGTTATGGCTTAACTTAAAACAGTGCAGTTAGGTGTGCTCTGAGGTTACTGTGCCCTTGTGCAGTATTACTGGGTAGTTTTTATGCTGGTCTTTCTAAACATCCTGTTCTTCTGAAGCCTAAGTTTGGGGTCTATAGACTGTTCATAAAAGAATTTTAAAATGAGATTAATCTTTTGAATATTCATAGAATGGTTTGGGTTGGATGGGACTTTTAAAGATCATCTGTTTCCCAAACCCCCGTCTTGGATAGGGACACTTTCCTCCTAGACCTGATTGCTCAGAGCTCCATCCAATCTGGCCTTGAACACTCCAGGGATGGGCATCCACAACTTCTCTGGGCAACCTGTGCCAGGGCATTGCCAATCCTAACATCTAATCAGTGAAATCCATTTGTACTTATTCCAGAAAGAATTTAGAACACCAGTATAGTGTCCAGTCTGGTAGATATAACTTAGTGTTTTCTGCAATTGAAAATGATGTTTAACAAGCTGTGCTTTTATATAAATACAAACCAGATGCTTCTGTCAGACTTCTCTCATCACCATATTGAAATGGCATGCACCTTGCTGGAAACCTGTGGAAGATTCCTCTTCAGATCACCAGAATCTCACTTAAGAACCAGCGTTCTTTTGGTAAGAGCAAACTTCTTGTCTTATGGGGGAAGTTGTCATGTCCTGACTTAAAGCAATTGCTTCTTTTTGAAACTCTTCTCGAGAACTCCAGTTGACCAAAAAATCTCGTCATGACGTGAATGAAAATGTTAAAAAGATAATTCAATTTTTGAAGTGAAAAGCAATTGCTTTTGAAATACCAGTAATTCAGAGACAGGGAAAACCCAGAGGATGAGGTTGAAAGAATATTGTAGCTGTACCTGAACATGCCTGAAGTAGTGTTTGGGGGAAGAATAGTAGTGAATGGAACCAGACCTGATTTCAACTGGAAGTGAAGACATTCGTGCAAGAGGGGATTTCTATGCCCTGTATAATGATCTGGGGTTCTAAATGTGAAAGAAAAGGTTTATGAAGACTCTAAGAGAAGCAGTTTTAGAAACAGAGATTGGAAGTTAAAATAAGATTAGAATTGGAATCTGTAAGTCTGGAGAAGTACTGTCAAGGACTTAAAAATAACAAGAACTGAATAAAAAATAACAAGAACTAAATAATACATTTTCTGACTTGGGAGACAATCCTAAAACTCTGTGTCCAAGGCAAGGGACTGAGTCAGGCATGATTGAAGAAGACCTTCAAAAATAGGTTCACTTTCTCTTGAACCTCTTCTCGTGCTCTAGTTAATGGAGTAGCAGTTGCTTACTTGGGTATATTGTTGAATAATTTCTTTTCCACAAAATACTGTTTTTTTCTGAACCTCTTTGAATGTCAGAACATCTGTTGAGGTGGTACAGTCACGAGAGGAAAGAGATGGGCAAATTAACTGCCGGTTCTTTGGCTCTTGCCTTTTGTAGCAGTACTTTGTATCTTGAAAGGTTTTAATCTCAATTTTCTAAAAGGTTGCCAGCTGCTGGGTTGTATTGTGAAATATATTCCTTTCCATTATCAAGTATTTTTCCCTTGAAAATCTTGTTCCATTACCTTTAAAAGACATTTTACTCGTTTCTATCACTTTTTGATAGTTAATAAAAATTTTAGAAGTCAGGAAAAATTAAATACTTATACCAGAGCTGGTTTTTGTAACTGACTGCTTTTAGTGTTATGCACTACAAAAATGCTGACTGTTAGCTGGATTGCTGGAATCTGCTGGATGAATGCTGAACACGGATTAACTGTGAAGTGCAAGACAAACCACAAACACTGTGTGAATTACTGAGGTTTAAAGCCTCACAAGGTTTTGGATAAGTAGTCTTTTCTTATGCATTGAGGAACCAGGAGAAGGTGGAAGATGGCAAATAAGTTTGGAATATCTATTTATTAAGATGTAAATTAGGCTAAATAGATTTATATTCTGCATCTTCTAACATTCCCCTAAAAAACCTAGAGTGATTAATTTTGACTTACATAGTCTTGTACAAATTGGATCATAGTCTTATGGTACAAGTTAGTGTGAACTGTGGAAAGGATTTCTCCCAAAGCAAGCTGATAAGAATCTTGTGGTAGAAATCTAAGCAATTGTAAAGCTGATCTACTCTTATGTGTAGAATTAAGGCCTGTTGATCCTCTAAATAATTAATTGTCCTAATCTTTACTGCTGACGACATATTTTGTAATAAGATTGCAAGCAGGCTGCTTGTCTCCTGCTAGAGACAATGTTGCTTTGTCCTGGTGTGGAGGAAAGTCATAGTTAAGAAAGGATTTTAGAAGTAATTAAGGAGAAATTACTTACTGAGAAGTAAAATGTTCTATATTGCAAATTTAGTAGCACTAAGCAACTTATTCTAGAGAAACATTTAGTGATCATATCCTGGTTTTGTGGAACTACTTCATGTTTTGCAAATTATTTAGGGATTCTTCTTTTATTAGGACAATGTTTATTTCTAATAATGGTCTTCTTGGCAAATCTTTCAAATTCAGTGTCCTTTATGTAATTTAAAATACTAATGTAAAACTAGATTGGCTTTGGGATTGATCAATTGATAAATAAATTATTTGAATTGGAGCTTTAAAAGAAGATCAGCTTCATCTTGATCCATGTTTCTGTAACATAATCAAGTTAAAATGTCAAATTCTTGTATTATACTGTTCTAGTCTTGCTGAAGGAATATTTGAAATTCTGGTATTAAAAGCTTCCTGTTGCATTTTTAATCATTTAACTTAGACAATTGTCATAAGCCTTAGGGCCAGATCACTTGTATTGATAAATATACAGAAGTTAAGCTATACAGTGCCTTATTTCTTGGTGTGCCTGCTTTTTATTGGTGGTATTGAAACTGTGGGAGATGTTGTTTGTACAGGCAGAGGCTGTGGCAAAGTAAATGCAGTTCATGTAGAACTGTGTTAATTCTCTTTAATAATAACGTGCTTCCAGGAAATTAAAAATTTCCAGAGAACAGAGCAGTGCAGGTGTTAAAGGGAAGGAGGAACTGAACAGTTTCAGTATCTTGCTATAATCTGATGTTTAAATGTCAGTCATGCTGAAATGCTTTCTGAAATGGGAATTCTCACGATGCTTAGGTTTTGATTAATTACATTTCTTTTTTTTCTTTCCCTAATGATCACCAGATTTTCTTTTGAAATGCTTTTGCAATACATGCTACATGCAGAGAGATTTTATTACTCACCAAGAAGAAAAACCCAAACAGTTTTAGTATTTTAACATGGATACTTTAATATTTGTGGTCTATTTTTATCAAAGGAAAAACATAAACCTAATCTTCAAATGTAATGCTTCACCTGTGTAGTTCTTAATTTTAGCCTAGTAAAATGAGGATCCAAAGTAGCTGATGAGCTTAAAGAACTTTGGACTGCAGGTCTTGCTTTTTTCTTCTGGATTGCATCAAGATTTTTGCTACTACAAAAGATGTAGTGTTATGATTTCTCTTTCCTGCTTGACTGTCTGATGTCTTAGGTGAAAAAGGACTGGAACAGTTTTTTGAAATGCTGAAGATTTTTAATAAATAGAGATTAAGACTAATACAATCCACTTACAGTTAGAACACACCCTCAAGACTGCTCAAAACCCAGTAAATTATGGTTATGTTGAGACCTGAGGTAGTACCTATTGTCTCTTCTGGGAAGAAACATTTTAATCATAAACTAATAATCATAAATTATTTAGAGTATAATATACAACTTTTTTTAACATGAAAATACACAAATTACGTAGATTTAGGGGTTTAAAATTTTATTTGCCAGCCCTTCTGCCATTTTCTCTGTTCTCCTTCACTTTGACCCACTTCATTTTTCAGTTTATAGTATAGAATGATAAATGCCTTTAAGGCAGCAAAGGTGTATTTTCTCTTGACCTATCTAGAAAAGGGTTTCACCTTTTCTAAGGTGACATTAACATATACGACATGGTATAGTTTGGGAATTTTCTACTTTAAGTATTTTTTCCCCACATAAAACAATTTATGTGCTCAGTTGTTAAGTGCTGTGTGTCTGTTAGGTGCCTGTAGGAAAGTGTGCTACTGCTACTGAGAGCAATTTCCCATTTGGGATGGAACAGTCTCACAGGGAACTAAAGGAAAGACCATTTGTGTCGTGGAAAAGGTTGAGAATGAAATAAATGCCTTAGGGTTGGTGTCAGATGGAGACCTTCCTGGTGATGACTAAAATCCAGGAGGAAACTTACATTATTTGTTGGGTTACTATGTTACACAAAGCTACCCTTCCTCATTGAATTAGCAGCTGAAACTCGAGGTTAAGGAGCTGTGGGAGTACATTGACATTTCAGCTGAACTGAAATATCTGCCCTGTAAAAGAAATTTTAAATTATTCAGGTTTAGTGGAAAGGCCACCAGCATGAAAAATATTGCTTTTTCACGCATAATCAAAGGAGGTTTAAACTCTTGGTTGGTTTACTGGACTGCATGAATAGATATACTAACATTTGTGTGTAGGGGATGAAACAGTACTTACATGTTAATTTTGTTTGTCTGTTTGAAGTTGTAAATTACTGTGTAGCCAACCTCTTGCATACAATAAAATTTACACAGGTCCAGTTTCCTGGTGAACCACCATAGAGTGATTTAGAATATATAGGATCACTTACAAGATTACACTTCTATGCATATAATTACACAGATGCACACTAAAAATATTTAATAATGGAATTAAGCTCATCCTAACTGTAAAATCAGCAGCTTAAAACTGCTATTTTTGGTTTTGTACAGAATTTTTAGATAAAAGAAATTTTTAAACTCCACAAAATAAACCTTAACTTACAATATGAAATGAAGTATGGAGAAAAGATTGTATTAAGTGAGGAAAATCAGGACAATCCTGACAAGTAAGCACAGTAATTAGTGCCGAGTCTTACCTGTCTGACTTTTCCTGAAACATTACTTTATGTAGATACTGTTTTTCTTGCAGACAGTTCTGCTTGGGTAAACAGCAGTAATGGAGCATGGAATAAGGAAAATTCTGTTGTCTAAGCCTTTGGAAATTCGTATGAAACCATCAAAAACTCTGTGGAGTTAGATGCTGATGTAAGAGTAGATTGCCAGTCTTATGATGACTCAGTGTGCTTGTGCCAAGACATCAGTATTGCAGCGACTTTAGTTAAATAATATTTTAAACAGAGTTCCTAGTAGTCTTATGAACCATTTATCTGAACAGCAGCATTAAGATTTTGAGTTAAAGCTTAAATACTTTTCCGAAACCTTTTTTACCACAGATGAACCATTATAAAAATAGGGATCAAAAGAAAAATGACCATGGAAAGAGCAACACAGAACCATATATATATGTACATTGTCTTTTTTTCTCTCTACCCGAGCTTTTAACTTACTTTTCTGCAACCTTTCATATTTAGTGTATCCCAAATGTAACTCTAAAAGCCTTTGGCTTGAAAATGTAGTATGTCAGCATCTCTAACTGGTCATTTGCATTTGTTTCCAGGAACAAATGATGAGGAAAAAACAAGCAATGCATCTTGATGCACGCTATGTTACAATGGTAGAAAATGCCTATTACTACTGTAATCCCCCTCCAGCTGAAAAAACTGTGAAGAAAAAACGTCCTCCTTTGCAGGAATATATCCGTAAGCTTCTTTACAAGGATCTCTCCAAGGTCACCACAGAGAAGGTAAATCTTTCCAAAATCTTTAATATAGTTTTTTTACTGAAAGTGGCATAGTTGTAACTTTGGAAAAGGTTTGGGGAGGGCTGTGTTTTTTTCAGTTGCGAGGAAGAGGGATCATTTTTTGTATTCATGAATAAAGTGTTTTAATTTCTTTCATTGGAACACATAGAAGCTCCAGTTGAGGACTTGTGTTCTCAACAGCATCAAATGCTGAACAAAGGGAGAGTGAGATGAGAATCGTTGTGTTCTGTACATTGTGTTGGGAGAGTAAGGGACAAAAGCCTTCAGTTAAATACAGACTGTAAGAACAAGGACATGATGGAGCAGCCTTGGCCAGCTTGATCAGTAGCTCAAGGACAGCAGTTGGGTTAGGTATATAAAGATTTCCATTGCCACTGCAGGTCTGGAGGATGGCTGGAAGTGAGAATTGGGTTGTTTGCAGGTGCTTACAGGGATTTCATTCCAACCAGGAGAGAGGGGGATGACAGGGAGCATCTTGATATTTTACCTGCTAAAATGTGAAGCTTGTCTTAAAATTTGGTTTAGGTCCTGAGACAGATGCGCAAGCTGCCTTGGCAGGATGCAGAAGTTAAGGACTATGTTATATGCTGTATGATCAACATCTGGAATGTGAAATATAATAGTATTCACTGTGTAGCCAACCTCCTAGCAGGGTTGGTCCTTTACCAGGAAGATGTGGGAATTCATGTTGTGGATGGAGTGCTAGAGGATATTCGACTAGGAATGGAGGTAAACGATCAGTCTTCTTACTAAGCTATACTCATCTACTTATGTTGAAAGGAAAACTAAAATAGTTGTGCTTAAGGAAAGAAGTCCATGGAGTCTCTTCTTTTTTTTTTTCTGATGATTTTTCTACCTCACTTATTTGCTTTGTATAGGTTTATTTAAATTAACAGAATAACTGTACCAAAAAAAAAAAACAACAAAACCAAACTAACAACATTACTTAAGATAATTGTTTTGCCTCCCTTATCATACTAAGGCCATAAATTTATTCTTTGACAATTGTAGACAGATTTACACAACTTCAAGTAACTTTGGAGACCAGTCCATATTTAAAAGCTGTTATAAGTACAAGAATTCTCTGGATGATGAGAAGTCATCATACATTTAAGATGGAGTGTATGCTAAATGCTTTGGAACTTAAATACTAGCTGACCAACCTTCATAACTGCTTTTTAATCTTTACTTTCATGTAACGTATGTAGCCATAAATAACCATTCTGTCAACTTTTTATACACTTTTTTTCCTTTGTAAAAGGTTGGTTGGGTTTGGGTTTTTAATGTTCTGTTGTGTCTGCATGATAAGAGTGAATTTTCTTGCTCTTTTTTGATAAAGGTTAATCAACCAAAGTTCAACCAACGGCGGATCAGCAGTGCCAAGTTTTTGGGGGAGCTTTACAATTATCGAATGGTGGAGTCAGCTGTAATATTTAGAACTCTGTATTCTTTCACCTCGTTTGGTGTGAACCCTGATGGCAGTCCTAGTCCACTGGACCCTCCAGAACACCTTTTCAGAATCAGACTTGTCTGTACTATCCTCGATACCTGTGGGCAATATTTTGACAGAGGATCCAGCAAGCGAAAACTTGATTGCTTCCTCGTATATTTTCAGGTATTCTAAATTTTTTGCAGATCTGTAAAGTTCTTTAACAAGCTAATATAAGTCAGTCTGGTATGTATTTATCTCATTGTTCTCTAGCACTGTAATTTGTAGAATCTTGTCTGTCTGGTAGCAGTTTTAGTTTCAAATGATATGTTGAGTTATGCCAAAATGGTCAGGAGGCGCTCAGTGCTCACACTGAGGTTTGCTGAACTTGAAGAAGAGAAGATTATTTAGGCTGCTCTCCTCATGGTTTTTGTAGAGGAAGAGGAGTCAGATACTTCTCAGGCATGCATGGTGAAAGGATGAGAGGTAATGGGCACAAGTTGCAGCAAAGAAAGTTCTGACTCAATAAATGTAATGAAGTGGGGAAAATATTTCATTATGAGTGTTTAAACACTGAAATGAAGATTCCAGACCATGGAATTCATGCTAAAACTTGCTGGATTTAATTTATCTTTCTTTCTGCTTTTCTCTATAATTTATACTAAAAAAAGGATGTTAAAAAATTCAAATTAAGGTGATAACTTATTTCAAACCTTAAGGATACAAATCACTCATCTGCATGCAAGGTGTAAAATGATGTTTTGAAGTATAGAATCTCAGAATGGTTTGGGTTGGAAGGCACTTCAAGGATCACCTTATTCAACCTCCCTGCCATGGGCAGGGGCACCTCCCACTAGACCAGGCTGCTCACAGTATGATATGGTCTGATTTTTAAATGCAAAAATAAATGTTTTGGGGAAGACATCATTGTATTTCTGTTAAACCTAATAATTTCAGCAAGCCTTCCTCTTGAGCATGTCATCTTTTAAGTAAGATTCTGTTACTCATACTTCATTTTCAGATGCAGTTTTTGCAGCACCTCAGTTCTCAGGTTCTACTGTTAGGTTCACTTATAATCAGCATTTATTTTTTACAATGTCACTGTAAGAGGTATATGGGAATTTGTTGTAAAGCAAACTGAATAAGGCACTTGAAGGTCACTGCAGTCAAACAGTTTTTTTATTATGTTTCCCCCACTTTCCCTGTAATATGCCTTTGGGGAAATGCATTTTCCTGAAAATATTTAGGAGAAGGAATCAGAAGCTGGCTGATTAAGTGGTCATCTATTGTAGAAAGAGTTTACCCTAAGAAGGCACTTTCTTGTCAGGGCTCTTTAGTTGAGTCTTCATACTTACAACAGTAGTTATGATTCTTAATGTTTGTGATATCCAGTGTTATGAAACAAGTTTTAGTGATATCAAAGTATCTAATAGTTGTATTAAATAGGAGAGTAGTGACATTTAAGCTTTTGCATTTTTTACGTACAAACATGGCATTTTAAACTTCACAACTTGAATGGTTTATAAACATCAGTGTGGATATAATTGATTTCAATATTTGGTATTCTAGCGCTATGTGTGGTGGAAAAAAAGTCTGGATGTTTGGACAAAAGACCACCCTTTTCCTATAGACATAGATTATATGATCAGTGATACACTGGAACTGCTGAGACCAAAGATAAAGCTCTGCAATTCTCTGGAAGAAGCTGTCAGACAGGTGCAAGACTTGGAACGGGAATTCTTAATAAAATTGGGTAAGAAAATGTGCAAGGGAAGTTCGGTATTTATTACAATTCCTGTAGTTCTTAAAATTGTCTCTTTATGATGGTAATAGTTAACCATTGTTATTGTTATGATCACTTATTCTCATGATAGAAATGTTTTTGTAATATGTTGCATGTTTCTTTCTAATCATCATAAATACCATACAGAATCTCCATAACTCTAAAGTAATAGATGTTGTAAAAAATAGTCAGTATGAATACTCCTAATGTAATAATATTTAGACAGCAGAAGTGTGTGTGTATATTAATTTATGGAGTCACATGGTGCAAGTGATGAGGAAGAAAATCATTAATCAAAAAATGTAGGAATCACACTAATTTCAGGAGAAAACAGTTGGGCTGGCAGCATAGCTCAGCTGAAAATAGACTTATTGGTGAGTATCTAAAACTGTTGTCCTATTAACCTTTAAACCTCTTGAACATATCTGTTCTTAGAAAACGGATACTACTGTGCTCATTACTTGTTAAATGGAGTTGTTTTCTAATCTTCCATTTTTAGTTGAAAACAAGCTTGTTCATTAAGAGATTTTATATGTAAATTTTAATTACAGCACTTCACCTGCTTGGACACACTCAATTTTTAAGAATAATCCTTCAATTCAGTGGGATGAATATGTCTAACAGCCACATGAAAGGTTGCAACTTCTGTTTTAGGAGGAATTTTTTTTTTCATATGCCTTTTATTTAATTAATATGCCTTGAAATTCCCTATGTAGTAGTAACTGAAAAGCAGAATAGAATTCCCCTATGGTGTGGTTTTCATGGTCTCAAAACGATAACCAAGAAGAAATATATGAGTTATATAAACTATAATATTCTTTTGAAAAGTACTCAGCGCTTCCTTCCTACAAATAACAGGAGCTTCACAAGACTTCACACTAATGGCTGACTCTAAGTGCATCTGGTCTAACATCAAAAAAGGAATCTGAGTAGTGACTGTGTTGACTCCTCAGTAAATTCCTAGAAAAACTAATGGTAGAAGTCTGACATCAGCAATCCCCTGGAGGATTAAGTGGCTTTGTAAATAAAGAAAAGAAAAAAAGAATGTATGAGAACAATAGTGTATGCTAGAAGTTCAGGGAGTTTGCATTGGATGACTTAATATTGCAATAGTCATTTTCTAAAAACAGATCTTCATTTTTTCCCTGAATCAGAACCATGTTCAATTCTTAAAAACATTGATTGAAATCTATATCTAAGACTAATCTGGACACTGAATCACTGGGAAAAGCTAAAACTAATCTTTCACTGCTGGGGAAATGGTACAGATAATGGTATTAGATTGAAGGATGCCTTACTGAAAGAAAGGAGATCTTTATGTTTGGTATTTTACACACAGAGTAAACTAAAACATCTGTAGGTCAGCAAGAGAAAAACAGCAAGATGAGCTAAACACACAGTGTAAGAATGGTCAGACCTCTCTGCAGGGAGAACCAGTAGAACCTGTGGAAGAAACTCTGCTTTCCCAGAGATTTCATATAGGCACCTGCATCCTCATAGGTTTCAAGTACAGCCTCAGAGCATTAGGAGAGATTCATAAAGGTCTATTGCAGGCTGAGAAAATTGTTGTTTCAGAACTGTTAATTGACAGTAGAGGGAAGTACTGCAAAGACTGCAGGGGCTTCGTGTCTCTGGGTTCTGCTGGATTTGTGCCGTCTCTGTAGTTTGGTACTCAGATTATCATAGACAGATAAAGAAATTATAAAAGAAAGGCCTCATAAAACCAGGCCTGCTCTGTTAAATTAAAGCTGTCATTTCTTCTAAGTGCAGTTTGCAAGTTCCCATGTGAAACAGTCTTGGTATGAAAGGTTCATTAACACAACAACCTATTCCTGGGTGCAAAACAAGTGCACTTATGTAAAGTATAAGGTTCGTCCCATGTGAACCCACAAAAGAAAAGTGTAAACACTTTAACCTTAACACATACACACAAAATCACCTTCTGACCAATAAATGAAGCAGTAAGAAAACTGATAGCCAATTGAGATCAAAATGAGGTCTGTAGAAAGTGTATAAAAATGCATTATGTGAATAAAGAATTGGCTTTTCCCACATGAAGAAAATGGATTTATTACAACACTGTAATAAATCACACGTGATTTATTACAGCACTCAGATTTTGTTACATGTTTCAGTAGGGTCCACATTTAGTTTGAGAATGTTTTGAGGCAATTTGCACAGCTTATTCTGTTCTCTAGGAGATTTTAAACATTCTCTCTAATGTTTTCCTCCTTTTCTGACATTATTACCCTTTATGTCTAAGTTAACTATATAGGAAGTGTTTCATTCAGAAGTCAAATATTATGACCAATGGGAAGTTTTAATGCTCAGTAACAATGGACTTTTGAAGTGATCTTCCACATATAACTTGAATAGTTATATGTCTTCTAATGTTCTAAATCTTTCTCTTTCTCTAAATTTCAGGAATTGTGAATGACAAAGATTCCAAGGAGTCCATTACAGAAGGAGAGAATCTGGAAGAGGATGAAGAAGAGGAAGAAGGTGGAGCAGAGACAGAGGAGCAATCTGGAAATGAAAGTGAAGTAAATGAGCCAGAAGAAGAGGTGAACTTAATAATTTCCCTTGCTTCATGTAAAAGAAATGATTTTGATTGCTTGTTACTTTCTGAAGCCCCTCTAAGTCAGAGTTAGCAGGTGAAATCTGGGTGTGCACAGCCCAGTCAGTACTGTCAGGATATTCCTATCCTAGTTCCGTGTATGTGGAAAACTGAGTATCTGAAGCTTAGTCCTTATTCTGGCAGAAACTTGAACCTGACAGCTTTGCTCAGGGTATGTGCTGCTTCTCAACAAGAAGATACCTTCAGTTTTTGGCATGAAAAAACTCACTTTCAGATGACTTTCGTTATCTGTTGTAGAAGCAAATGTATTGACTAAATGTCAAAGCAGTCATTAGGAAAAAATAACAGGTGTTCACAGGATGCCTATGCAACATGAATAAATAAAAGATTTATGGAGCATAAAAACCTTCCTTATTTACTGTGCTAAAAATATTTTCAATCAAAAATGGTGGAGCCAATAAAAAAAACCACAACGACGTAAAAGTTCTGACTTGTCACTATGACACAGCAAAGTTGATGTGATAATGGTATTGTTACAAGAAAATGAGTTCATCAAGGAAACAGAGAACAGTTTTTCTCCATATGTCTTGGGCTGGGTGATTACTAATAAGCTTTCTTTCAATAGATGTCTCTCAGCATTTAAGGTCCTAAAGTTTGACTGGGTTTGTGCCTTCACCCATAAATTATTATCGATAGAATCAGAAACAGTTGCAGGGTGGGGAAGGCATTTCTGGAGATTTTTGTACTTCCCTTCTTTGAACTTGATGAGCTCTTGCCAATCCATTCCTCCAGTTTCTGGAGTTTCCTCTGAGTGGCAGCATGTATTGGCCACTACTCCCAGTTTTCTGCTGTACATTTGTGAAATTAGTAATAGAGCTGAGTGAGTTCAGACTGAAACATTAAATAAAAACCAAACCAAAAAATTTGCAAAGACTTAACTAAGCAACATGAAGTCTTTAGGAAAATGTTGAGGAACCAGCTGTTCTTGTTTTAAAATAGTCAGGAGTTAAAATTGAATATTTCAGGAGGGCTCTGACAATGAGGAAGAAGAAGGTGAAGAAGAGGAGGAAGAAAACACCGATTATCTTACAGACTCCAATAAGGAAAATGAAACGGATGAGGAGAATACAGTATGTATTGAGATGGAGATAAGTGAATTGAATTTGCATCTTTGGTTTTCTTTACTCAGTGGTTTTTGTCACTGCTGCTCATAACATACCTGGGAAAATACAGCAAGGACACTTCCTGTTATTCTTTCAAATATATTTTATAGCTTATTTTCATGTTTGTGAACTTTGGTTATTATTTCCTTTTGAAAATTTTTATGCTGTCAAATTTACTGCAACATGTTTTCACAAGACTGTGAGCTTTCACAGGTAGCTACACTGGAAAATATTGTGTAGATGATGGTTTTACAATGCCAGCAATAGTAGCAAACTGACAGGATACAACAAGGTAAACTGATTATACTCACTAGATCTCAAAACAGAAAAGGAGACAAGCCAAGAAGTGCAAAATTCCTACAATACGAGTTTGGGATTGACAGATGATAACTTTTGCAGCTAAAGAACCCATCTGGTTGAGCCTGAATTGCAGTTACATAGTAAGGAAATAATGAACATTATAGAACAATGTGTTGGGGTGCTGGCTTCTGACATTTTTGTTGTCATGTTGTGCTTTCCAAATAATTGAAGGGTAGATTTGGTCTTGAAAATGCCATCTAAGTTTATCGACTTAATAAAAAATTGAATTAAAATAGGTGTGTTAAGGATAGAGACTTTTTTTTTGATTGTTGCCACATCTTGAATGTGTCCATGCACCTGCATGCACACACGTCAGTCTGTCAGAATGAGTGACCATAAATGGGGAAATATGTGTTCCAAGAAAATAATCAAGGCTGAAAACTTCTTTCTTGAACAATTCGGATTTATAAACCTTTTGATTGTGCATGATATAGAAGCAACAAGGATATTTTCCACTTATTTTCAGACTGACTATTCATATTTCTGAAACTAATGTAATGGACAATTTTTTCCCATTGCAACAGGAAGTAATGATTAAAGGAGGAGGACTGAAGCATGTCCCTTGTGCAGAGGATGAGGACTTCATTCAGGCCTTAGATAAAATGATGCTGGAAAATCTTCAGGTATAAATAGTTATTTTCTTAATTTAATGTACAGCTAACTGTAGTTGTTTTTATTTTCTTAAAGTAAATAAGTGATTAATGCTTAGGTTACCATACTAAAGGAACGAAGATTTTTTTTTTCAATGTTTTGGACTGTTCTCTGCAGTTGACTGGTTTGGCTTTTAGTAAAATAGTTGTTAATTGTATTGTTTGCCCAGTGAATACATGACATACTGACATATATTTCACAGAAGGAATAATGAATGCAGCAGATACTGTGCAACACTTCTGACTTCATCTTAGGTTTTAATAGGCTTAAAATGCATTTAAATTTAATAAGCTTTTAGTACTTTGTTTTCTTAGTCGCATCTGGCAAGTATTTCAGTATTGAGTATAGCAAGCCCTGTATAATAAATATATTAATCAGATGTACAAAAAAAAATTCTTGAATGAAGAATGTACATTCTACAGTGTGGCCCATCAGGTCTCTAGATTCTTTCCCTAAGAGATTGCCCTGTAACTTTCTTCTTCTCAAGCAAGGAAAACAAAAGGAAAACACAGTAAGCCTAATAAATGCATTTCTATATTACTTCATTTTCCTGGAAGGTTAAACCTTTTCTCAGTTGTGAAAATCTGAATGTTGCCAGCCCGACTGACTGTGTCAGCATCTGATCATTCATTTTTCTTTCATAGCAACGGAGTGGAGAATCTGTTAAAGTGCATCAGTTGGATGTTGCTATTCCTCTGCATCTCAAAAGTCAGCTGAAAAAGGGCCCCCCACTTGGAGGTGGGGAAGGAGAGTCAGAGTCTGGGGACACGATGCCATTTGTCATGTTAACAAGAAAAGGCAACAAACAGCAGGTAAGAGTTTATCTAAGGTATAGTTACTGTTTGAATAAATAAAGGCCTTTCACTTCAAAAAAAGTAACACAGCATTTTTTATTTCTTCTTTCATTTCTCAAAATCAGATACAGAGAACTTCATTTTGACACATGGAAAATACCATATATAATTTCTTGGAATTCTCGGTTTTTAATAGAAATTATGTAGAAAAATTCTATGGTCAGATGATACCATTGCTATTTACATTTGGTTATTCTACCAGTAGGTCAGTGGCATGTCTTGCATGTATTTTAGATATAGTTGTGGAAGATTAATGATGTGGTTGGTGGACTGCCACTGAACATTGAAAGGAGTAGGAAGAAAAAGGAATATTCCAGAATCTTTAAGATTCTACAGCTTTTCCTGAAAACACCTTCAGCTTCAAATCAAGATATAGGGTCATTGCTAAATTCTATTTCCTAAGTAGCTGCCACTTGGCTGAATTTATTCAAATTGCAAAATGGAAAAAAGGCATTATCCCTGAAGACACTGTTAGGGGATTATTCCAGAATGCATGGAGTGAATCTCTTGGAGAAACTTAAATGGAAATCAGGTTGATAAAACAAACTAACTCCTTGCTTCATGCAGCTAAGCTGTATGTTAGTCTTGGCTCTTTTGTACAGTGTATGTTTGAATTTTCCTAGCTCAGCAAATGCACAGTACACAAATCTCTACCTAACACATTCCACATGTATTTCTTGTCATGGTTTAGGGCTTGTAAAGAAACCTTTTCATTTTGGTTGTATTTTGATGAAAAGAAATTACTCTGAATTGATATGGAAAGCATACCCAAGGAATTGTTTCATGCCATGTATCTGAGCCTTTCAAGTGTTTAGATCAATGTCATTACTTGGTTTTAACATTTTTCACCTAAATTGTGGGAGTAGTGTAGCTGTCGGGGTTTATAAACCTGAAGTAGACTCCTTCTCTTCCTTCATATGAAACACATTTCAGAAATCCATGTAGGAAGTGGTTATTCTGTTCTCCTGGAACTTGAATGTGGCATACAAAGTTCTACAAAAGCTCTGAGTGGGAGATTCTTAACTGTGGTCATTGGTCTGAGAAGGGGTTTAAGAGAACTCCATCTTTTAAGAAATGTTGTTTAGCTTTTTTAGGATAATTTATTAGGAGTATCTGTAGTTACAAGGAATTTTGGGATCTTCATATTCCATGTAAAAGGGAAAATATTGCAGAAATGTGACTTTGAAAGAAAGCAGAACTTGTTCAGGAGTTTTCCCTGCTCCTCCCCCAATATTTGGTTTTGGGAGTAGGCTCTTCCTGCCAAAACTACTCTCAGTGTTTCTAGAAATGTAGAAAACAGTTGCTTTATAGACTACTTCAGCTCTTGAATTAATGAAAGGCTTCTTTGTCCACAGTTCTGTATTCAGAAAAAAAAATGTGTTTTAGTACAGAGTTTTAATAGAAAAATAAGCAGGAAAGAAGAGGTGGAGTTGAAAAGAAAATAATTATTCCTTCTTATGGTGCTTTATTTTAAATCTACATGAGCAGAATGTGCATGAGTTCTGAAGTGATGGATGCATAGTTCACTGTTAAGTTATAGCTGTAAACTTTCAGCTTTTAAAAACAGTCAAAAGAAGTTTGCAGCAACCTGGGAGGCTGTAAGTACCTTCATCTGCACTGTCACCAGAGTGATAAATGACATCAGCCTACTTCTGTTAGTAATGATTTCAGTCTTTGTGTTCTTTGTCAGTGGTGCTCCTGAAACAAGAAATGTTAGAAAAATGGATTGTACTGTGCTTCCTTCCCGAGGGTGACATTTGGTAGTGGAGGTCCAGTTGCCAAATACTCAGTTCACATGTCAGTGTCCACCCACATTTTAGTGGAGCATTGACAAATAGGTTTTTTTTAAGTAATACAAGACCACTGACTGGTGTTTACCAGCTGCATATACCCAAATCAATGGTCATTGCAGGCTGGTAGTGACAAGGACACCATATTTTATCCTCAAAACTTAGAAAACTAATAGCAATAGAACCTAACATGGTTATTTGAAATTACATGATGGCATTGTGATTTATCCATAAGTCATGAGAGAGTAAGGGGAAATAATGTTGGCATCATAAGGGATCAGAGTTGAGCTGTATCTAATACCATTTGGTGTTTCTGAGCCAAGACATTGTATGCCAGGTAGGTATGAACTAAAATGAGATATAGACAGTAAAAAGAAAGTCAAGAAATTTGGTTATTACCTAAGACAAAAGATTTCCTTCTCTTTGAAAGCTTTTTAGCAAGACTCCAGAAAAGAATGATAATATCCATGGAGTGGTCAAATCTCTCCCTGAATGTGAATTTTTTAATCTCGTTTATATCTTCATGCTTTTATCTCGTGGCATTTTTATAAACTCTCTAGTCTAATCTTCTGAATAATGATTTTTGATCTTTCCTCAGTTTGACATCTTTAAAGTGAAATCCTCCATCCTGCCCCCATCTCACAGATTCGATAAGAGGTTTTTGATACACCTCTTCACTATTTGCAAATCGGAAATGTTTCAGTTGCTCACTAATCATCATATCCTGTAGTAATTGTCATCAGTGACTTGATTTCAGGTGGCAGCTGATTGCCTTGAGATAGTGACTCAGTGATGTTTTGTTAATTGCCAGGCTATTGTTTTTTCTGTATCTGTGTTTCTCATTTACATCCTTCTATAGTTCAGTTTTCTTTTTCCTGTCTGAAAACACTAGTCCCATTTAGCTGATAAATGCCTAGAACAGAGAAAATATAAATTAAAAATATATATTAAAATGGATGAGGAGCTTAATGGTGAAGCTGAGGAATGATTTTTATCATTAAATGCTGCTAATGGATTAGGTATTTGTGTAGTTTATGTAAAGTTCATTTGATGATATCTGGGAGCCTGCACAGCCTGCTCAGCAGTAAGTAAACAGAGCTTACTTTGCTCTTGGAATTTCAACTTTCATTTTTTTTCTTCCCTGCACACCATAATAACAAGCTCATATTTGTTTTCAATATAATATGCTATTACCCTCACCCTCACCTCCCCCAAAAAATCTCATCTAAATGCATTATGTAGTTGGTAGGGTTTAGGGATTTACTGTTCCCAAGTTTTTCTCGGGTCTTTGCAAGAGTCTGTCTTAGCTGTTTCAAATCCAGTTTATTTTCAAGTGCTTCATCTGAGTCTTCTCACACTCCCTCATCACTGTGCTGCTAGTGGGGCATTACTCTGTGAGATACCTTGAGACTGTTTAGTGATTATTGCATTAAATACTAACCACAGGTGGTGAGGATTTTGCTTTTATTCTAAAGCTTCTCAGCAGAGGTTTTGATAATTTACCTCTCTCTGCAGCTTTTGACAGTGTAACAGAAAAGAACACTTAGGAATTTACTTCTGTTTCTTTGGAAGTAGATCTCCCATGATGAGTAACAAGGACCAGGACTCAGATTAGTTCGTGGAATATTGAGAGTGATTATCCTTAAATGCATAACCCTTCTTATGGCACAGAAATACTTCTAATGGACATGGAGTTGGAGGAGGAAGTGGGATTTTTCTAAAAGTTTGCAAACTTTAGCATTAGGGATTTTCTGAGAACTGTTGTCTCAGTTTTGGATAAGATTAAGAATTATTTCTCTGTTCTGGAACAATAGTAAAAAAATAGAGATGTAGAAGTAACAGATTGGATTTTCTGAGTCTGGGGAAAAAGAAATCGCCTTCCCTACACTTTCCCAAAAATATCAGCTGGATTTCCAGAAAGAATTTCTGTGGGAGGGCAAGCTTACCTGGTGTGCCTTATGGCAAATCAAATAATGGGTGTGTAAATCAGAATGTGTGGTGGGCACATGTGGGTATGGGGGAGGAGGAAAAGATCAATCTGCCACCATGGTTATCTCTAGATTAAGAAGAAGCACCGGGGAGCCAGAATTATTTTTAAAAAGAAAAATTCTGGCCAAGGAATTCCAGGGAATGTCTGAAATGCTCGAAATGTTTTTCCTCTGTTATCACAAGAGATAGTAATAGAAATTCTGCTCAGGGGGCTTCATCTCTTTGGACAGAAGAGACTGAAGAGGGAGATGCAGCTTTTTGAGTCAGCTGTGGTGCTTTTATCTCAAGACCAGGGCATCTCCCTGTCTTGATCAGCTGGTATGAAAATAAGAAATAAAGCATATGCTGTGCCTTGCTAGGGAAAGACAGTCAGTTTTGTTCACATGAATACTGTGTGTAGTAAGTTTTGGACTCAGCCTTTTTTTATGTTCTCTGTGTCTTTAGCAAGTCTTGCATTTTCTCGTGCTGCTTTTTGTGAAATAGAGGTTCAAAACAAACCAACAACACATTTCACAGTAGAAACTTTTGTAGAAAGTACCCCACTGAAATAACCTAGGAATAACCGTAGCATTTCTGTATTTTGGATTGTTTGGTATTGGTTTGGTTTATTGCTCTGATGGGCACTTAAAAGCTTATTTTGATTTGCAGTTTAAGATCCTAAATGTGCCGATGTCTTCCCAACTTGCTGCAAACCATTGGAACCAGCAGCAAGCGGAACAGGAGGAGAGAATGAGGATGAAAAAACTCACTTTGGATATCAATGAACGGCAGGAACAAGAGGACTATCAGGGTAAGAAAATCAACTATTTAGTTTTTATTTTCAGGGGAGCCTTTGGTGGATCTGCAGAAAGCATTACTTGTGATGATTAACAGCTTAAGTTCTCAATATTGATTTGCAGTACTTATGGGAAACCTGTATTTTGGTTTTAGTCATTCAGTGTTTCCTCCCTGGTCTATATACTTGAAGAAGTTTTTGTAGCTGTTCCATGAAAAGGAATTTTCAAGTGGTCTCAAATTTCAGCATTTCCATTTATTTTGGGAAAGGGGAAGAACTGAGATTGTCCTTTTAAAATTAAGGTAGTACAAAATCAATGTGATGTTTACTGCAAGGCAGTTGAGTTGGATACAGAAAGAATTCTGTGCAATTTAAGCTCTGCTTTTAAGCTCTTAATAGGTGGTTTAGATACTAATAATATTTGGACTCGTTAGTCTTACTGAGACTTGCAAGTCCTGAGGTAACCTTCACCAGAGAAATACAAAATGTTACCTCAGTTTCATGCTGCAAAGGTTCTAGGAGTCCTCAAATCTGGAGCATAAGCATATATTAACACAATTAGGATTTCATACAGATGACATGATTAATTGGTTTTTTGAAGACATGCCAGTCAGGCATTTTGGAACCCGGACAGATTGAAGCAAACAGTTAATACAGCAGATCATACAGTCCCTAAACAGGTGCACTTGATGTGTTTAGTTGTTGGCTGGTTTGTTTTGGGTTGTGTTTCTTTTCAGATTCAACTTCCATTGGCTTACTCAGGTAGCAAACAAAGCCAGGCCAATAAAACTGATGCCTTATGTTACTGTTTCCATTTAACATCTCAAAAGTTTTTGCTCTGCATTTTTTTTGTAAAGATGTTGTAGTCTGGTGGTAATCATGGTGTAAGTAGTTAATCAGCAGGAAATCTCATTTAAGGTATTTAGTGAAAGGTCACTGTTCATCAAGAAGTGGGAAATTAAAACAGTTCTGATTTTAAAACACTGTGGAATCCAGTACTTCTTGCAGAACTTCGATAGTACCAGAACTAAACTTGTAATTGTACAAAGGAGTATCTTCCAAAGAGAGTGTCTGCAGAGCTCTGAAATGGTAACACAATATATTCTGAGTATTGGACAGGGTAATTAGCTCAGAAACTTTCTGAGACACTCTGCTCTTATAAAGCCCATTTGTGAGAAAGGAAGAGAGAGGCTCTACAATTAGACATTTCAGTGCTTCTCTCAGACTTTTTGTGGGTTTTTCCTCATTAGATATTTCTGATATTTCTAATGGTCCAGGCATTTGGGTTTTATACTCTGTTGTATGACTTTGTTGATATCTAAAATGAACCTATTTAATCTAGGATTTTATTGTGAGCAATTGTACTTTTTATCCAAAAAAGGATCATATTTATTTCTGTTGGACAAAATCAGACAACTGATAAGAATTGATAATTGGAAATAGGCTTTTTACATTTTCTCATAGATTTTTATGTAGTTCCTGTGTACAAAACAATACAGGAAGGAAGTGAACACAAAAGAAAAAAGTTTTTCCATAATTCACATCCCTTTTTAAAACTGCTGTTGATACATCTTATTTACTTGGGTAATACACAGAGTAAAACCAAACTAAGGAGGACCATTTAATCAGGCTAAATTAAACAGGCCAAATTACATTTGCCTTTGGAACAATTTTTTATTTAGATTTTTGCAGCTGATGTTACTTTTGAAGAGTCATCCTGTCTGTGACAAGTTGGTACCTACCCATTGAATGAAAGTGTTTGGTTAAATTTCTGTTTCAAGCTTTGAAGTTACCGAGGGAGGAAGAATTTTCAATTTCTGGAAGAATGCCTCAGGGTTGTCCCAACGTTTTCACATGTACTTGTTATTCTTTTCATCTGCACAGGGTAGCTAATAGATGGAAATTCACCAATGTACTTCAAAGTAGTATCAGATAAAGATTTAAAGTTTCAGCAAAGCTTAGTATATTACAAACGTTTTTTAATTTAAAGAATTATTAGGAACTTGGGTGGTTCTCTAGTTTAGACTGGTACTTTTCTGTGCTGATTTTTTTTTTCACTAAAAAAGCAAGGATGTTTGGTGGTGTGTCTTCAGCCTAGAAATCACATTGTGCTCCCCTGCCATCTCTGCCTTCCGTTACCTTCTCCAATACCAAACTTCCCAGTCCCATATTTCCTTTCACCTGCTGTGTGGAAAACAGAAGAGGCAGATGTGCACGTACTTGTTCATTCACTGCTTGCTGCTCACACCTGGCTGGCAGGGTACCCTAATCTTATAGGGTTTTCCTCCTGATTTCCTCCTCATTGCCCCCAGAGCTCTCTCCTGGCACACAGGAACGACACTGGTTGGTGGGAATGCTGATGTTTCATGATGTTTACAAACATGGACTGTCAGTGAGTTCAGGGGCTGCCTTTGCCACTGCTGGATGAGTGTGCAGAGCATGAATACAAAGGTCACTGGCTATCGACACAGATACTGAATATTAAATCAGTCACAGTTTCCCAGTTTCTCCAGGACTAGGTGGATAACTTTACTGAACGTTTCACCTGCACTTTGTAAATGATGAGGGAACCTCATTAGCCTCCAGTTTGGCCCCACTGAGAGCAGTGGGTGAGTGCAGCAGGTGATGGGTGTGTGTCTCCAATGAGATTACCAGAGACTGGAGAACTAGACAGAGCAGACTTTCAAACATAATCTGTTTAACAGCTTATTCCACTTTTCCCCTTCATTTATCCCATCTGTCTGTTTGCTGAGTAATGTAGATCCCTGCTCAGGTGGACTGTAGGAATACTTTCCATTAGATGTATTAACAGATTGGCAGAGATTACCTCCTATGATGTATCTGCAATTGTATTGGCTACTTAATAAGCATTGACTTCGCCTGGTAAAGAAACATTTTTTTAATCATTAAGAAATGAAATAAAGTTTTAGAAATTAAGTTTTACCAAATGTCAGAATACAATACTATCCTAGTTTAAATTGCCCAAAAGTTGGCTATCCAGGGATAAACTGCATCGTGTGGACTGCTTTCTGCACCCAAACTATTCCCACTGATGATAAAGTGAAAAACTTCATCCGTGGGACAGCTGGTGCGATGTAGGTCAGCTGAGTCACCTTCTTCAGGTGCCTGACTTCGCTGGAAAAAGATCCAATTATCCAAGCTTAGACTTAAATACCTGACTGGCAATGCCTAATTTTAGGACAGGTTTCTTGCTGAGTCTTTTAATTGGTAGGAGCTTTGTGCAGTTGTTACTATTCCGGGGAGGTTTAATGTTGAGGCCGCTCACGCTGCTGTGAGTCTTTGTTCTCGATCATTGATGGAGAAAGTGGTGGCTGATGTGTTTAGAAAGAAAAGGTCGCAGACCTTCTCTTGAGCATCTGTGATGAAAACCACTACTGGCAGTTCCTTCTGCAGGAACATCTGGAAATGCAGGTTTATATTGTGGGGTAGCTTGGTTTATCAAAGCTGTGGATGCGATTTGTAACTTTTTATAATTAACTTCTGTGGAATAACTTGAGTGTTAACTCTACAGCAAAGTGTAAGTGTAAATGGCAGTGAAATGTGCATGTGTCAATTCCTGTGTAAAATGATGCATAGAAAATGTATTTAACTTTCTTCTATTTACTTTTCTTCTGCCTGAAATCCCAGAAATGTTGCAGTCTCTGGCACAGCGTCCAGCTCCAGCAAATACCAATCGTGAGCGGCGGCCTCGTTACCAGCATCCGAAGGGAGCACCTAATGCAGATCTAATCTTTAAAACCGGTGGGAGGTAGGACAATCTTCCTTTAAATGTGGTAATTCTGGTTCTAGGCAAGTAATTACCTTCATAATTGAAACAGATAATGATCTCTGTAGTGAGTATTTGGGCAGTCGTTTCCATTCTAAAGCATTCACTTAAAATGCCAAGCAGTGTTTTGTGCTTCTAATTCAGTGTCTGTACCTCCGTGACAATTTGGAAGCCAAAAGATTATTTTTCAGTTGTGAAATAGCTGCTAGAATATGAGCCTCTTTTTGTAGGGAAAAAGAAACAAGTCTGCTTTCTCCATGAGAGGGGATGAGGATTTTTTTTTTTATAGTATCCCAGAAATTCTCATTATGGTCTTTCTGTGAGGTAAATTTCACAGCTATTCCTCTGTATTTGATGCCTTGAATGGAAAGTAAATATAGTAAAGGTGGGAAGACAGAGAAGAACTTTCAATTTGTTGTGTAGAGTGTACCAAAACCAGCATTAACATGAAAAGTCATTCCCAATTGCTTAATAGTTGTTCTGAGGCTTTAGTATATGTCTTTTCTCACTTGGAGCAAGCTGGCAAATAAACCATTAAATTAGCCTTGCAGCACACATTTGAATAGACAGTTTCGGGTGAATTGCAGACCTGCTTTCATGTTCCTCTTTTCTTTGCAAGTCCATTTTGAAGGTGGATTGATAGGAGCAGCAACTGGGAAGGGAACAGTTTACCTCCTAGTGGATCTGCCTTTATGAACTGCAAATAAGTTAATGTAATGTACTACTTCTGTGTTCTAGTAGCATTTCCATCTTCTTCATGGTACATGTTTATGATCATTTGATAATGTCCTGATGAGCACTCACTCATTGAGACCTCATACAGACACAGCTTGTACAAGAAAGAATTTTGGTTTTTTTAAAGATTGCAGTTTATTTTAAATGTTTTTAAAAAATGAACCAGATGTAACTCAAAATGAGCAGTGCTTTCCATGTAGCTTTTTCATATCACTGTGACCTAATGCTGTTTTAGGAATACAAAGTGTTCAGTTACACTGAATTGCCACAATACTTACAGGTGTTTCATTAACAGCTGCAGCCTTCTGTTCTTTCAGGCACGAGCTGCATGCTGCAGTTATTCTTTAAATACAACAGCCAGACCAGTAGATGTGATATCTGTAGATTTCTTCTAAATTATTTTCTTTAGAAAACTTTTTATATTCTGATGTTGTCGGGAAAATGTCATTTAGACTGTGAAGTAGGTCAGATGTTACACAGCAGTTTGAGCAGTGTTTGCTTATTCAAGTGCCATGCACTTGCAGTTTTAATGTAGTTTTGTATTATGGAGTTCACTCTTTGTTCCTTTTAATCCATCAGCTCCTTGGAGCAGAGAGCAGGAAGTTTTTTTGAGCAGGTATATTTTATTTGTTGTGTACTGGGTGCTCTGCCTGGCAGTCATGCATCGGTTGAGCCATCTCAGCCTGCAGTAAGGCACTAACACTTTTCCTAACTCCATTTATTTATTGGAGACTGTGGGTACACCAATGGCTTCCCACTGGCACAGACTGTCTGCTGCCTACAATCTTAGAGCCTCTGATTTGTAGGATGTATTGAAAACAATCTTCTGACTTTCAAGGTTGCACTGCAGTCTCTGCCCAGACCCCCCTCTGGCTTTGTTAAAGCTTTACCCTGTGGATTCTGAGGATGCTGGAGGATCTGGCTGAGCAGATAGGAACTGAGCTGTTAATTTTAATATCTGTAGAGAAGGTTTCACATTCCGACTTGGTAGAACAATGGTGTAACACAGATGTTACCACTTCCATGAGGACACGGTGTTGTGTTGTAGCTGCTTCTTTGTACATGAACACAACTGAAATGTTATTTTCTTACAAAATAATTCAAACTTACTGGAAATAACAGTTTGCTGCTTTCTTCAAGATATACAACTTTTTATTTTACAATTCTTGAGATAGGGATAAACTAAGCAAATAAATCTCCTGGTCGATTCCACTGTAATGTACAATGTGACAGGTTCTGATAGCTGAGGTAGGAATGAGGCCTTTCTTGGATTTCAGGGAGTGTTGAGAATAGAGAAATTGATTTGTTGTTTTTACCTTTGCTTTATGTTGCTAAACATGCCCTAAGCACCGTGTTTCAAACACCTTTTAGGAAGTTAAATCCAAATCTCCCTATTGTAACAGTTCATTTCAGAAGTCTATGAAGGTAGCATTGGGTTCTTCCATATGTTTTTGGCCTTGAACAGCAGGATCTCACTAAGCAATTAACCCTCTATGTTTTTTAAAAAAGAGAAATCTGCTGTAGTTTTTACTTTATTTCTCCTCTGTTAATGTCCTTGTTCTATACTAAAGTAAATGCAGTGAGATTTGCAAGCTTTGTCAGATTTTAGTACGTGCAAAATGCTGGATCAAAAATTGGAGTTTATTCCTGTTTGTTTGGAATTGCCTGCTTGTATGGCCTTGTATTACCTGTTTATCCTGTAGGGAGGAGATTCTTTCTGGGACTGGTACATTTAAGGATGACTGACCTTAAAGATAATTTACTGTGACTCCCTTAAAAGTAGGGTTCCTTGATTTGCTTCAGCAGAACTGGGAAGAAAACAATTTTCTCTCTTGCCTCCAGTTCTGTAGCATTTGTGTGTTAAGAGAAGCCTTTGGCTCAGGCTATTAAACTACTACCTTCAGGAAACACAAAATTCACTAAAGTAATTTTTTTTTGTGATGGAATTATCATAAAAATAGACTTCTACCATTAGGAACAGCTTAAAATATAAAATGGTTTTCCTTTGTTTAAGAGGATTGAGATCCATTAAATGGCTTGGTTTTAAAAGTGAAATGAAAATAACCATGTTATATAAAATAATTTTAAAAACATTGATTACCAAGGAAGTTAGATTTCTCCCTGTAATTCTTCTGTTGAGAAGTGGGGCCTTACCAAGGATTTTATCTTGTTAAACCTCTCCTTATTAAAAGAAGTAGCCTCAAAATTGGTTGCTGTTTTGAAGGTATAGTACAGGGCTTGCCTGTGTCCAAAGTTCCCCTGGGGATGCAGGTATAGGCTGGCAAACCAAATAATAATATTCAAGTTAAATGGTGATCTCAGGTCTCCTGTTTACATCTGACTCTTATTTGTCTTTAACCCATTTAATAAAGAAAAATGAAGCATAACAGTAATAACAGGATGCTGGGATGTTATTAGCTAAATATTTTCATCATAAAGAATATTGCATTAATGCTGAAAAATCAGAGTTTGGATAATAAGAAGAAATGTGAATTTAATATGATTTCCTGTTTCAGCTACTGGACCAACACAATTCATACATCACCTGTCATGAAGTTGATGCATTGACAATACTGCTTTATGAAGCTTTGAATTCACTTCTTACTGGCATGAACCTTTCAAACTCAGCTAAGAAATGCCAAACCCCTTTTCAGCTGTTTCATGGGAGGGAAGCACAGGGAGGAGTATGGGAGGAGGGCTCCAAATCCTGCAGCTGCTTCTGGTGGGCTGCACTGGAGCTGAACACAAAACAGGAAAGGCTCAGGTGCTTGCCTTGGCAGGATGGTGCTTGTTGAGCTCTGCAGGCTGAGTGTGAGTCTAACCCAGACAGCAAAGTTGGAGAGATAACACTTCAGTTTAGAGGGAATGGAAGGCAAAATTGTATTTATAAGCCATGCTCAGTTAGAAAGACTCCTATGTTTGAAAAGGTTCTTTCAATATAAATAATAACAACTACCTACCAAAAACCCCTGCAGTTTTGTGGCCCTCTGGAAACCAGCTACCAATCCCCAAAACACCCCCCTGCTCCCACTATACACACTGACTTTGTGATTTAACTTTGTCAGAGCATTTTATTTTTGATGGATAGATGAGAATATAAAATAGCTTGCAGAAGATAAGATTCTCTTACTTAGGCGAGTTCAGCTTTTGTGGTTTATTTGAATTTTGATGTTCACAGTGTAGAATGTGATAAGTCAGATGTGATAGATTTTTAATGGGCACCTTGGTGTTTTCTGTTTCTTGTTCATGGTTTTGGGTGACAAGGGGAGAGAGACAACAAAACATGGAAGCTGAGATTAGTTGAGAAGAGCAAAGCAGGGAGTGAACTGGGAGAGCAGGTGTTTGGAGCTGGAAGTTTGTGGGGAGATTTGTGAAGAAATGCAGCACTGCAGAATTGCAGTGTTGTGGATTGGAGGACACCAGGGGATTAGGGATAAGTGTGAAATCCAACTTCAAAGGTCTCAATGTCAAGAAATAAAGAGATTTTTTGTGATCTTGTGATGTCAGCAATATGCAGAAAGGAGTTGATTGTTGATATTCTCCTGGGCACTCTCAGTTTAAGCTGTAAAGTTGTGCTGCTGATTGAGCTCTCCCAGCTTCACCCGTGCCTTGGCTTTGTGATTATTTCGTAGCCTATGGTGTGATGTTTGTGTGTTTTTATGACTTCCAGTTTTCTGCTCCAGCCACGGTTTGTGGCAGAGGTTCTGTGTATTTCCCTGTCAGTCACGGGTGGGCGGTGTTAATGCTCAGCATGGCGTGAGAAGCCGCCTGTATGAATTTCATACAAATGAATAAGGCGTCAGTGGCAGGAAGGGCAGTGTGGGAGGAGACTGCAAAGAATTGATTCATTTTACACATAGGGCTCAAGATGGTTTTAATCACATCTGTGTACTGAGTTTGACCTTGCCAAATAGAAGTTTGGATCAAGTTTACTAGATCAGACACAAATGTGAAATACCTGGTTTGGGAAAAACTATTGCTGCTATTTTTGGCAGCAGCACGTGTCTGTAATCCCCTGAAACAGGGATCTGCCACCAGCAGATCTGGTAGCTGCTGGTTTGGTGTACTGGTACTGGTAGCTGCTGGTTTGGTGTACTGGTACTGGTAGCTGCTGGTTTGGTGTACTGGTACTGGTAGCTGCTGGTTTGGTGCAGCCAGTCCCAGCCTTTTTCCTTCCCTCCCCATCAGGCAGTTAAAACCAAATCATAGAAGGAGTGCTGCAGTGAGTTCTAATGATGCATCAGCTTGGGACTTCCTGGCAAAAATATACAGCATTTTTATATAAACAAATACTGGATATTAGAACAAAGCAACACATAGAAATACAAAATTTAGTGTGAAAGCTTCATCTGGTACAAGAGATGGAAAAGTTACCATGTCCAGTTAACCTATCTGTATCTGCAAGATCTTCAGTAAAGACCAGGTTTAGATCAAATGACTGTTGAACAAACACTGGAGGATACACACTGATGTAAAGAAACATGAACTGTTGTGTTTGCATGGTAAAAAACCTGGGTGTGTAGCCCTGGAGCTTTCTTGGAATTGTAAATGTTGAAGTTTTATTTTGCTGTCTGTTACTAATTTTAATTTGCAGCCCAAAATCAGCTGAAAAGGAGCCCAGATGCAGTAACTGCATTGTGCTGAAGTTAGTGACACTGGGGTGGCCTTACTGCTGCATTGCCCTGGTCTTGCTGAATCCCCTGCCTGCAAAGTGGTGTCATTCTTCAATGCATTTGTATGTTCTTGAGAGAATTAAATGTGACTTTTTGTGAGTAGGGATGTGTTTCATGAACAACAGGTGGTGGAAAATTTAAATGCACCTGTTGACTCTAAAAAGGTTCTAACCAGTAATTTGCATATAGAAAGTCCTTTGTAACGTTTCTGCAGAGCTTCTAAGTATTAAGAAGCTGCACAGAAAGATGAAAACTATTTACAATAACTCATTTTTTCACCAAATTCACAGCTGTGCTTCAGTAGTTCAGCATCTCATCTGGGATGAGAAGGTGCAGATTATCCCCCTGCTTTTGTCTGGTGTGGCCTTTTGAAATGGTTGTGCAGAAAAGAGAAATATGTAACTTTTTGTTGGAAGGTAAAAGAGTATCAGAATGAGTGGCAGCTGCTCTGGGGGCTGCTCACTGCAGAGTTCTGGGCAGCGCAGCCTGATGTGATTCCTCTCTTCCCGCAGGAGACGCTGATCCACCGCCAGTGTCATTTCATTAGGTCCTGTATCTCTGGTGTTGTGGAGTCCTCCAGCGATTAAACGAGAGCAGTGGACACATCTCAGCATGTCAGTCTAGAGCGTTCAGAACCGAAACCTGCGACAGGCTGGGGCCGTGGGGCACGAAGAGCAGCCTCCCCTCTCCCCCCCCACCCCCCCAAAAAAAGCTTTTTGTTATGGGAACCGCGTTGAGGGTCAATCTTCTCATAGGAGCAGAAGCAAACGAGCGAGATGGGGAACTTGACCTGCGAGCAGCTCGGTGAGAGCCGGGAGCAGCCTGGAGTTCGGATGATTACACTGGAATGGGAAAGGCCTTTGGCAGCTCAGCCTGCAGGGAAGTAAAGCTCTGAACTCGCCACAAGTTACATTGTCTCCGACTCGAGCACTTGGTGTTGGAAGGATGTTCTTTGAGGGCTGCAAATCTGCAGTAGAAAAACATAGAGCCAACGGCAAAATCCAGAAGAAAACCCTGCCGAGTAGGATAACTTCTCAAACACTCCTCAGCGAGGATGTTCTTGGTTAAGGAAGAGCCTTTTGCTGCCAGATGTGCCAGAAAGGGGGTGGGGAGGGGTGAAAAACTGAAGAGCCAAGGAGATAAAATGTCTGTTAAGGTTTAAAATAGAAAGTGAAGTTGATGAACACGGGGTGTTGACTCGTACTGCTTGGAACAGCCTGACACCAGCCTAAGGACAGGGATATAGTTGAGCCCATTGTATGTATCATTGAAAACCAAAACGTGCCAGTCAGCATAACAGGAGGATGTCAAGGAGTGGATCCAAATATTCTGTTGATCTTCATGGGTTGATAAGCCTCTGTGTCTATTGAAACAAACAAAAAGTTAAAAAAAAAAAAAAAAAAAGATTTAAGTCTGGAAACAAGTAGAATTTTTATTTTTTTCTAAGTAGAAATGAGGATTCTTGGTCTGTTTCTGACAATCTGTTATTTATTAGTGTAGGGTTTTGTTTGCTTTCAGGTAGAGGTAGTTCATTGAGTTAAAGAGCCCATCTGTATGTTACTACTAATTCTTTTTTCTAGCTCTTCTAAAATCCTTTTTACCACTGGTTTTGGTTTCTGCATGTAGGAAGAGAGACTTGTAAAATTGTAACATTTCATACAGAAATGCCGCCCGATCTTCACCAGCTTCAGAAATCTGACCTTTGCCAATGCTGCAATAAAGTGTTGTAATTTAGAGTCGGTGTCTGCCTCTTGACATTCACTTTGTTCTTTGGAAATGTTTTGAAGGGTTTGTGGTGTATTGTGGGCTGTAGTTTGGACAGGAATTCCAGGTCTTTGATTCAAGTCTTACGTGATTTTTTTCATGTTGTTTTCTTTCCACATGAAATTCATGGGAACATTTATTAATCATGTTTGTAACTCTGAGCTCCTCCAGGAACGCCTCCTACACCAATATGACCATATCCACTGCTCAGATGTAACTTCCACTTCCCCAAAGAACAATGCCTACCAATTGGTAATAGCAGATTAAGCATCTAATTGTGGTTCAGACTAGAGTCAGCTTCCTTTACTCAACATGTTGCTTAGTTTCAAAAGCATTTAATTTATCCAGATTGAGTAACTGCATAAAAATAAAATATTAGCTCTGTGTTATATGTGTCAATCCAATGCCTTGGATGGAATTTGGATCAATGGAAATGTCTTTATAAAATTATTTGCTAAAAATAGTTTAGGGTCAGCTAGGGATTTTCCTGACTTCAGACTGAAATCAAAAAACAGTTCAGTGAAACTTTCTGAAGTTTAATTTTAAAATTAATTATTCTAATGTTGTGCCAAAGATCACCGTAAATGAAATAATCAGAGCTGAATGCACACAGACAAACGTTTTAGCAGGGCCTGTTGCAGTAGGACAAGGAGTGCTGGTTGTAAACTAAATCGGGGTTGACCTAAATTAGAGATAAGGAAGAAAATTTTTACATGAGGTGATGAGACTGGCACAGATTTCCCAGAGGTGGTGGATGCCCAGTCCCTGGAAACATGCAAGATTTCAACCTGATGTATTTGAAGTTGTCCCTGCTCATTTGCAGAGGTATTGAACTGGATGACTTGTAGAAGTCCCTTCCCTTCCCTTCCAACCCAAACCATTCCATGATGCACAGAAAAAATCCAGTTTGCATGCACTTTATTCCTTGCCTTCCCGTGTGCTGACCCCACATCTCGTGGTGTGGCTGGATGCTGCTCCTGCTGCTTGCACAGCAGTTTCACTACCTGATCCATGTGCAGGTTCTTGCTGCAGGGATTGCATGGCTCCCTCTCATGTCTTTAGAATCCTTTACCTTCCTTTAGAGGGTGTTTAATTAAAATTGTCACCTGTGCAGCCTGGGATTGATACAGAATGGGGAATGGCCTCTATTTTGGTCAGTGTCTGTCACCTCTGAATATTACTGCTTTACCCAGATTACATGATGTTTATTTTAATTAATGAAATTGTGTTTAATGTCATTGCTTCTCTTTCCCTGCAGTGCAGTGACCCATGGGTGTGTCTGGTCACTGGGGAAGTCATCCCAAATTCAACCTGTGGCACTGTTGGATGGGGCAGAGGATGTTCCCTGGGAGCCTTTCTCACGGGATGCTGGTTGAAGGTGTCCTTGCAAAGAGCATTTCTGCAGCAGTGTTCCTGACCCTGCAAGTGAGGAGTTAAGTCTGGGAAAGCATATGTAGATGAAGGAGAAACTGTTTCATGTTCTTGATTACGTAAAAGATTTCTGTTATCTTATCATTCTGTGGAAAGAATTTGGGCTGAAGTCAGGCCCTGGCATTGGGGTTGTCTTCACTGATGTGAGGCTCCTCGAGCTGACAAAGTGTGCTGTAGGTTTGTACTCAATAATTGTGCCTCAGTTTTTGATGGTAACTTCTCCTCCCCGATCTCTCAAGCCTCCAAAGCTCAAGGCAGGGACTTGGGGGAATGAAGTCCTGTCTGTCACAGGGGACAGGTTTGTGACCACCTGAGTCCTCCTGACCTGACAAGATGGCTCTGAGGCCATCCCAGGCTCCTCTGAGGGGGCTCTGAGCAGCCTGGTCTGGTGGAAGGGGTCCCTGCCCATGGCAGGGGCTGGAAGTGGATGAGCTTTAAGGTCCCTTCCAACCCAAACCATTCCATGATTTATGGTGCATCACTTGAAAGCCTGTTGGAGCTGAGGTGCTGTGTTGGGCCTTGCTCGAGGATGGAGCCAGGGTGTCTGGGAAGCTCTGGAATTGGAATTTGACCCAGGAATGGCAGTGCTTGCAGGCAATACCTTGAACTCCAGCTGATGCTATTGGGCATCTTTCACTACCCACAATGATGTAATGTGATAAAAAAGGGTATCAATCTTTTTTTCATTAATTGCTGAGTTTGCAGACTTGCTGTAATCTCAACTTCCCAGGCCTTCAGCATGAGAAATCTCTTGGGCTGTTTCTGTTATGTAGATAAAAATATAAAGCACATCTATGCACGTGTGCCACAGCACACACAATTTTATGTATATTCAGGCTTAGAAAACCACCTCTATTGTGGAGTCTGTCTGCTTTCCTCAAGCTCTCAGCATTTTTCCTTTGGCTGTTGCAGCAGAGCACTCACTGTTTGCTTGGCTCAGGCATGGCATGGCCTCATCAGCCTGGAGTGAATGTTTGCAATACCAATCCATCCATAATGGTGCCACGAACCTGCTGTTGCCCCCTGATAAATACATCTATTTTTTCCTCATTTTTTCCCTTCTTTGAGCTTCATCACTAATTTCCTCCATGCTGAGCTTTTCCTCAGCCATTCACCCTTCTGCCCTGCTGAACGTGCTCCTCTGAGGTGACACTTTGCTGTCTCTTCCCAGAGCTCCACTATAAACAGGG